GTTTGCCGCGGGTATCGGCCGGAGATTAGAGCAGGGCGGCGCAGCGCGGCACTGGGCGCCCTTCCTCCGAGGGTCCGCCAAGGCCATTCTTCGCACGATTTGAAGTGCGAGTTCGACGTGGACGATGAGCTCCTGATCCCGCAGCGCGCCGCCACGCCGCCAGTGGAGTGGACGGGCTGCTCTCGCGGTGAAGGCATCGCGATGATGACGAACTTTCAACTACGTGCCCGCTCGTCGCTCGGCGCGCGCGCCGGCTCGGCTCCTTCGAACTGGTCCGGGCGACTCGACTCGCATCGCAAACCCCTCGGGGCCTCGGGGCATGTCGCAGCAGACACACTGTTCTCTCTCGCACTCGCGGGGCGTCCCGGAGGGGTGCGAGAGAGACGGGGCGCTGTCGGGCTTCGGCCAGCTTCGGCCTGCAGGCGGCGCCCGCCCGGGGGACCGCGCGGCCCGGGCCTCGGGCCATCGCCGCCTTTCTCCGTCCGTTTGGGAGGCAGCAGCACACTGATTCCGAGAGTCTCTCTCGCACCTACACGGGACGCCCCACGAGTGCGAGAGAGACTCTCGGAATCAATGTGCAGGGCAGTGGCCAAGGCGGTGGCGGCGAGCCCCTCCAGGTTCCTGCGGCGCCGCGTCCGCGTTGTGGCGTCCACTCCGTCACTGTCGGCCGAGTCCGTTGGCCGCGCGCAGCTCGCCGCGATAAGCGAGGCGCCGCAGGATTTCGCCGAGATTTTATCGCCGCCAATGAAAAGTCGAGGAGAGCGAGCGAGAGGGCAGATGGCCGCGCGCGGAGGAAAAAGAAACCAGCAGTGGCGGAAGAAAAACAGTAAACGGTGTCTGTCCGCGGCTCCGCGGTCCGCGTCGGCACTTGGTTAGCCACACCTTAAACCCTTACAGTGCCGAGGCTCGGCCGCTCCGACCGCGGCATGCAGGCGGCCAGCGCGGCCAGCACGCTGCAGCGGCCGCATTGCGACACATTTGCAAAACGCCCGGCTTTGTCGCCGACGGCAAAGTAACTCGACTCTATCGGAATGCCGTGGTCTGATTCCGCGCGCAATCGCTGAGTGTGTCTCTGTCGCACTTCTACGTGGGGGGCTCCGTTAGTGCGACAGAGACTCAGCGACGGAGCCTCTGTTCGGAATCAGGCTGCTGAGGGCGTTCTGGAGGGCCGGGCCTCGTCGTCGTCCTGATAAGGAAGGACGCAACGGACCGCACCCGGCGGCGCGGGCCCGGCAGGGCGTACCAGGGCTACCCCCAGGAATGCCCCGTCAGCCAGGTCAGTAGCGGCATCGGCCTGCAGCTCTGCCCAGCCCAGCCCCTCCAGCCTTCCAGACGGCCAAATTGTCGGGGCCTTTTGACACCGCAGCGGGGAGGGGCTCGCGGGGCGCCGCAGCGTGTCCAATCATCCGCCGGCCTCTCGCCGACGTGCCCGCCAACCTCAACGCGCGGAAGGCGGAGTCCGAACCGTGCTTTCGTCGCCGGTCTCTCTCGCAGCCCTGCGGGGCGCGCCGGGGGTGCGAGAGAGGCAGAGCGACGAAAGCACGGTTCGGGATAGGCCTGCAGGCCGGGCACCGCAAGCTCGGCGACGTCAATCACCGCCGCCGTCGGCAACGGCACGCCGCGGCGCCGCGGGCCGGCCCTCCAGGCGGGCCGGGCCGCCAGGCCCATCGCCCGCGGGGCTCGAGGGGGCAAAAACTCGCGCAATCATGTGTACACGGCCCCCGAAATCACACGCGAATCATTGAGAATCACGCGAAATCAAGCAATCCGAAATCAGCCAAAATCACTAAATCGACCGAAATTAGGCAGAATCACACGAACCAGGCCAAATCAGTCTGAAATCATTTCGTTCCGAACACAATCACACGCAATCACCTCAACATCACCCTGGGTGCGTCGCGAAATAAGGCAAAATCAGCCATGAAATCAATTAAAACCATGCGCAATCATTGCGTTTTCCGAATCATGTGTACACGAAAATCCCGAGTTTTTGCCCCCTCGGCGGGGCTCGAAAATGACGCGCCGGCAGACGGGCCGACGAGCAGGCCGACGAGCAGTCCGGACGAAAGGCCACTCATCGACCGCCGTCGCCGTTTACCAATCAAAAGCCGAAGCTCGCGTTCCGCGGTGGATGCCGCGGTCGCGCACACCGCCTCGCCGCCACGGCGCCTTGCGGCATACGATCATGTGTGGTCTAGCCCTTAATGGTAATGGTAATGGCCGGCCGGGTAGGCAGTCCCGCACTACAGGCCAGCGCCACGGGACAGCCCACCACTACGGCGCTCTCGTCGCCCAGCAGCGCCGCCCCGGCCCTGCGCAACCAGATGCAAATACGGCGCGTCTTTTGTCTGCCACAACAAGCGCGTTGCGCACGTGGCCGCTCATCGCCGCTTGCCGGGACTTCCTCCGCACCCAACACCAGCAGCAGGACGGGCAGCCCGACGGGCAGGACGGGCTCCATTGTGATGCGCGGCGCGACCTTTGGTGCAGGATGCACGCGGGACGCGGCCGGGCCGTGACGACGCGCGCCAGGCCGCCATAGGCCGCCGGGCTCCATGGACGCCGGCGCCCCGCGGCGTGTCCTTGACGCCAGACGCGTCCAGGCGGGAGAGACAATAGCCCCACGGGCAGCCCCAGCACTCCAAAGGGTGAATAGGAAAAGGGTTCATTATCGGCCGAGCGGCGCGCTCCCACAGCAGGCTGACTCCGACTAGCGATTCGTCGCTCTGTCTCTCTCGCACCCGAACGGGGCGCCCCGTCAGTGCGAGAGAGACAAGCGCAACGAAAGCACTGCTCGGAATCAGCCCGCAGGACCGCCGTCGTGGGTATCGCCGGCAGGCCTTGAAAGCGACAAGTGGCGGACGTGCGGTGCGGTGCGCGCGTTTTCGGCCGCGACGCCGCGACGCCGCGACGCACGAGGGAGGAGGCCGTGCACGCCGAGCAAGGCAGGCCGGCCCCGCGCGGCACGGCGGCGGAGACACTTACTACGCGTGACGGGCAAAAAGGAAAGTGCGGCACACATTGCCGGCCCCTTTAATCGCCGCCCCCGACGAGGAGGCCGACGAGGATGCCGACGGGGACGCCGACGGGGACGCCCGACGAGGACGCGACGAAGTCCACAACGAGGTTCACGACCCCGACAAAAACCCCGAGGTGGATCCCGAAGGATCCCGAGGAGGACCCCCATGAAGGACACCACGTCGAGATCTTCGACAAGGACCCCCCGCCGCGCACCCGAAATAGAGCCCGCAGCCCGGTCCGGGCAGCCACTCCTCACAGATGACACGTTTGCGGCCGAATAAATGTTACGCGAAACTCTCATTAAGCGGCCTCGCCGGGGGAACCCGACTTTCTTGTTTTAAATCCACCTGACCCACTCCACCGCCGGCAGGACCACCTCGCCCCGCCACGCCTCGCCCCGTCCGGCCATCGACTATTCCTGTCGGGTACCAAAGCAAGCACGGGGCCCTGCCCGCCCCGCTCCGCGCGCCCTGCCGCCGCAGCCGCCGCGCCCCACCACCCGTCCGGAGACAATGGCCTGGAAATGTTTGACGATGCTGGCGATAGCTCGTCGGGAACCAACGGCTGCCGTGCTGCTTTTCGGAGTGACGGGACGGCACGGCCACGGCGTCTAGCGTCGCCTATCGACACCATGGCGTGGGGCGCAGCGGGCCGGGGTGACTGACTGGGGGGCTGAGCCGGGCTGCGCCAGCAGCCTGATTCAGAGCAATGCTTCGTCGCTCCGTCTCCCTCGCACCCTGGCGGAGCGCCCTTCGCGTGCGAGAGGGACAGACGGACAGAAGGCCGGCTCCTCCTGCTGAAAGGCCCTAACGAACAGAGGCCACGCGCGCGCGCTTTTGATTCGCGCTTGTTTTGTTTGGCCTGCCTGACACTATCGGCAGGCACGCTACACTGTATTGTTATTGGCAGGTGTGGCGCCACCCAGGCGCCCCGGCCGTTTGCCATTTTCGAGTGGAGTGGACGCGTGCGGTGCTGGCTGGCCTGGCCTAGAGCCTGGCCGCCTGGCCTGGCTCTCCCACGGTCTCGCATGCAGTTATGCGGCCACAACGCGCCAACACGGGCCGATTCCGAGACGGAGGTCCTGCCGGCTGTCTCTCTCGCACACCCACACGGGGCGCCGCATGTGTGCGAGAGAGACCGTCCCCTCGGAATGAGCGGCCTGCTGGCGAGGCTTTGGCGCGCCGAGGGGGCGAGGGAGGGGAGGGGGGGGGCCCAGGTGGACGGGTAAGGGACCAAAAGTGGGGGGAAGGCGGGACGTCTGGGGTCGCATTGCAGCGGCCCCGACCCACGGTCCTCCAGGGCCTAAGGCGCGGCCTCACGTCCCCGGAGGACCTCCAGCAGGTCCTCCAGCAGGTCCTCCAGCAGGTCCTCCGGCCGGGACCCGTCCGGCCGTCCGCCGAGAATTCCGGAACCCGTCCTCCGGGGTGATTCATCGCCGTCGTGCTCCACGAGGGTCTTCGATGAGCGGGGAGAAGCGCGGTCCTGCGCCGCCAACAGTGTACCGGTGCAACGAGAGTGCATTGTTTAATAAAACACGAGGCGCGTGCATGCCGCACGCACGCCGCGCCGCGCCACGCCGCCGATGAGTGCGGCACGCGTTTCACTTCGCACTTTTACGGCGGCTTGGTGCACGAACTGGTGCACCGCCTGCGCCGAGAAAAAGTGCATCACTTAGCGAGTCCGCCGAAGGCAGGCCGCTTCGGGGGCATTGCGTGCATCGGGATCGGGTGCACGCCACACGAGCGAGCGGACCTCGCGCAAGAAATCGACGACAGAAAATGGGGAATAATTATTATATTTTCATCAGTGTCCAATTAAGTCAAAACAACAAAACTTTTTAAGAACATAGTAATTTTTTTAACGATTCCACGCTAGTGAATGCCTGAACGGGCGACCAACTCAACCCGTCATCCCCGGTCACAAACCCTTCCGCCCCCGCGTGAGCTCTGGGAAGAGACGCCACGCCACGCGGGTCTCACCTGAAGCAAGATCAGTCGGTCTGCTTGTTGAGTGTGGTATCCGAAAGGTAATCCAGTGAGATCGGCGGGGCACTACACTACACACACTGACTGTCACTGTCGCACGGCTTGCACGGCTTGCACGGCTTGCACGCGCCACACACGTGCTGCGGAGAAAGAGAGAGCGATGCAGGCGTCGCGCTGCTTGTGTCGGGTTCTGTCGCGTCTCCCTCGTCGAGGTGCGGTTGCGGTGTGGGGACCGGGCTGACTGACTGGCGGGCCGCGCCGTGCCGTACGCCAAGTCGGGGCGCGGCGAGGCGGGGCGGGGCGGGGCGGGGCGGATGGCGCGGTGGGGGCCGGCGCGGCGGCTGCTGGGGACCGGGAGGGGAGGCCAGGGCGGCCAGGGCGGCGAGGGGGAGGGAGGTGCCCGGTGTGGCCCAGCAGCGCCCAGAAGCCCTTCGTGAGCGCTTTGCGCGCCAAAGGGTGACCGGCCCATTCTCTCGCACTCAATGAAGGTGATTTTGTTGCTCGGGGCGCCGGGACTTTGCCAAAGCCGAGGTGGATGTGCGCGGGAAACGCCTGCCTGGTCCTTCCCTGCTGGCCCCGCGAGCCGGGCCGGGCCGAGCCGGGCCGGGCCGAGCCGAGCCGAGCCAGCTCACTAGAAACACACTGACCGACTTTCTTGCCGGAGCCGCGCTGCCGGGCCGTGGCGAGCCGGAGCCTTCGGCTGCCTGACGGGGCGGGGCGGGGCGGGGCGGCGGGGCCGTCGGGTCGCGTTCGGCCTCCCTGTCAAATTGGTTCAATTGTGGGCGTGAAAGCCCCACACATTGTCCACGTTTCGGGGCTAATATGAAAGTCAGATTCATGAATGGGTGGAAGGCAGGGTGGCAAGGAGGCGTGGGCTCGGGCTCGGTTGTCCACCTGTAGACGACTGATTCCGAGAGTCATTTTCGTCACTCTATCTCTCTCGCACCTACAAGGAACGCCCCATGAGTGCGAGGGAGACAGCGACGAAGACGATCTCGGAATATATGTATGCTGTATGTTGCATGGGGCGTGCGTCCGTGCGTCGCAGTCACCAACAATGTACGCACGCAGCGCCACGCTGCGCCACGCTGCGGTAAAGTGGACCCCTTCCTCATTCATTCCCCCCACTGAGCGCGAGGTTTTCCCTTTGCTGGATTACCGCGTAAATGTGTCGGAGCGGACGGAGTGATGACGCAAGCCGGGCGTTCAGTAGTCTGATTCCGAGAGTCGTTTTCGCCGACCTGTCTCCCTCGCACTCATGGGGCGTCCCGTGTGGGTGCGAGAGAGACAGAGCGACGAACACGACTCTCGGACGGAATCCGTCTAATGGTCGCCACTCGAGCATTGTGGCATTGCGCGGCTTTGTTGGAAAAAGGACTCAAATTGCGCGGGGACGTCGGGACGTCCTCCCGCGCGACAGGTCACAGTCAGTGGCGGGCTTAATTGCGGCGTGAGGGCTGTCACTCCAGTCGCTCCACGGCCACGATGGTTATAAAGCGGCTGCAGAGCGGACCAGTGCGCACACACGCTCCTGGACCTCCGGCCAACATGCACGTCCCCTACGTCGTCGTGGTGGTAGTCGCCGCCGTGGTCCACTGGGCCGGCGCCCAGGCAAGTGTCTCCCGCACTTCGCGGAATAACGAGAAACAGTGTCCCTTTTGCTATTGTCGTATTTGTTGTTGTTGTTTTTGTTTTGAACTTTCGCTGCCGCAGTCCGCATCCGAGCTGGCCTACGCCAACAACCTCGACGAGTGCATCAGCGAGCTGGGGATGACCAAGGGTGAGTGTCCGGTGGTGTCCCCGACAGTGGCGTGGCGGCGGATGGCGGCGGATTCGGTGCAGGCGGCCTGGACGCTGACTTCGTCGCTCTGTCTCTCTCTCTCTTACTTCCGAGGTGCGAGAAAGACGAAGCGACGAAGCTGTTTGGAAGTCGCCTAGGCGTTCACGGTCTTGTCTGTCTTGTTGCACGCGCCCTGTCCGGGTCCTTGCGGCCTGCGACGCCCAGCAGACGAGTTCAGGAAGAGTGGGGACCCAACGTTGAAGGTACGGTGTGTGAAGCAGCCTGGAGTGAACACATAAAAGAGACAAAAATCAGTGAGAGGCACAAGACAGAGGTCCAGACTGCCCCTATAGAGATGCCAGGATACTGAAATCGCCAAATTCAGTCTCGCACACCCACAGCATAGTGTATTCGACTCTCTGTTGTGTGTTCTTTGTTGCAGGTACAGTACTGCTTGATGACAAAAGACGGCACGGTAAGGACCATCTTTCCTATCCTGCGTTGAAGCAAGACTTCGTTCATCCCATTTTCTAACCTCTGACACGCTTTGCAGGTCGGACCAGACGGAAAGTTTTCGGCTGAGGGAGCCTTGGCGCAAATAGAGAGTTTTTGGAAATCTCAACCGGATCGGGTGGCCAACGCCACAAGGGTTGTTGCTGCGTGCCGCGCTGAACGTAAGTCACACCAATTCACACACTGAATTTTAAAAGTGTGACGCTTCCCGGTTTTGGGGTAAATGCCTCTTGAAAATGAAGCATTCGGCACAGAGCTGTATACCTCTCTTTGCACTTCCCTCGACAGTCGAAGCTGAGACAGCCATGGGGGAGGCACTGGCGAAGAAGATTATGGATTGCTTCTCGAAAAACGACGTAAGCCATCTTTTCAACAACTTTTGATTTCCTCTTTCTTCCCGCCATTTTCCTGTTTTTTTGAAAGGGTTCTGTGCGCGCCTTCCCTGCGAATAGGTGTCCGGAAGGGGGCCCCCCACGACCCCCGCCCCCGCCATGTGACAGCAGGAGGAGTGAATCAGACGGGTTCCTGCGCCCGGCGTGCGGGCAACCCATCCTACCGCAAAGGCTCCGCTCGGCTCCGCTGGACCGGAGTGGACACCTCCACTCCACCAACGTGGCGAGGTCGACTAGCTCGGCTGGGTCGCGTTGGCGGCACCGTTGCCCTCCTGCAGCGTCAGTCGCATCTGCAAGGGAGAGAGACGTAACATGTTGTGTAAAATGTACTCTCTGAAAACCTTACAAACTATTTTAGCCATTGTAAAAAAAAGTACTAGCTTGCGTTATAACAAAAAGTATGTTAAGCATACAGAAGCTTACAAGGGAAATACTTCGTAATTTACGAACTTTTTCTTCGTGTAACAAAGGAAATTAGTTTGTACTATGTATGCTCAAAATACTTCGTAAGGATTTAAGCGTGTAAATTACAAAGACCCGCATGTGAAATAGAGACAGCCTCTTTACTACTCACCGCTCGTCCCTCTCGCACCAGGCAGTCGTAGATGATGGTGGCTGCCTCCACCTCGGACGCGTCGTCTTTGGGTTGGCCCACTGCAAAGCAAGCACACAGAGGGACAAATGGATTTCATTCAACAGACACACTGGTAAAACTAAAGCGTGGTATTACCCTCTGTTTTCAAGCGTAATCAATCAAGCATAGCAGGCTCATCCCCGCCAAGATTCCCCCTATCAAAATGCATGGGGGGGGGGGATTTCCAGAGCATATGCTTCATTTAAAGCGTAACGTCTTCAAGCGTAACTTTACGATTGACTCAAGCATAGAGTTACACTTTAGTTTTAACAGTGCACAATCGAGTCAAACGAAGAAAAATAAATTACCCAGAGAGTGGCACTTCTCGGCGAGCTTCTGCATCAGCGGGACGTTGTCGTTCTTGGGGTCCCCGGGTGTGAGGGCGCGCAGGAACGTCACCGTCTTTTCCTTGTGGAGCATTTTATCCTTCATCTGAAAACAGGCGGCGCTTATGTGACGCAACGTGTGCCGCTTCAGCGAGATGGCACAACAACAAAAAAGAGAATTCGCTCGGGGGACTGAATTAATGAGTTCGCGGCCTCACCGGCAGAGCGCCGGTGGACGTGAGTGGGCGGAATGATGACAGGAAGTCACTGACGGTCACTGAGCCTTCCGCGAGGTTGGGACACTGAACAGCAGTGCGCCCAAAGTTTTCATTCAAAGGCCAATTGCTGATACATACCACTTCCGCTCCCTTGAACCAGCATGCTATGACAGCCTGGGAAAAAAAAGAAATTACATTAAAATAACCTTTTTCAGAAAGGAGTGTACGCTTTTTATTTGGAATTCATCCAGTAGCACTCACTTTGGCAGTTTCTGATTTTAGTTCCCCTTTTGAGATTTCTTCGAGATCGTCTGGAAGCCGAAACAAAGAGAGAATAAAGCACGTGGTCGAATTTTAAACAGCGAGATGCATGACTTGATTCACCTTCCGACGGAGTGATGCCTTCGCTGCACACCTTCAGCGCAGTCAGGACGGCCTCCTCCTCCTCCACCTGCGTCTGGAAAGGGAAAACAAAACACGGCCGGGTTTTGTTGTGTTTTGCAGAGGACGCGCCACTGCAGGTCCGAGCGCCGGGCCTTCATGTCGCAAACATGAACTCGGAAACGGCGCGAGTTCAACTGCACTGCGCATGTAGCACACTGGCGCCGCTTCATCCTAGTGATCATATAATTACTTGCTGCTCGTCAACCAGACCAACGACAAAACCGAACAAAATGCTCTCTGACAGACCTGGGAGACTCGTAGCATCACTCTGTCTCTCTCGCACCTTTATAAAGGTCGTGTAAACACTTCGTCCAGTAATCACTGCCAAAACTGGATACTTTCGCTGTTTTTTAAATCGATGTTTGAGGCTTTTTTCTTGTGAAAAATTTGCAAAATTGGCAAAATTTGCTCCTAACCAGACAAAATTTCAAAGTTTCCTTTTTAGAATTTTCCTGGGTAGCCACTGGTAATTAGTAATCGTCTGCACACTCCTGAGCTGAGTGGAGGAGCCCTCGGCGCGCCTCGGTGTTGGCGGAGGCTTGCTTACCCCGACTGCGATGGCCAGCAGCAAGGGCACGAGCGCGGTGGCCTTCATGTCGTGGACGACGCGGTGCCGTTGACGCGGTGCGATGTGGCTGATGCGAGCCGACGCGCTGGCCGCGCACTGCGGCGCCGCGGACCGCCGCGTCGCTTTTAAATTGCCACAGATCCGCGTCCGTCAACGCCAACAACGCCAACAACGCCAACAACACCCAGCGCCGCTGCCCTTCCTTTCCCCCTGCAGTGCAGACTGATTCCGAGAGTCGTGTTCGTCGCGCTGTCTCTCTCGCGCCCGCGCGGGACGCCCCACGAGTGCGAGAGAGACAGACCGACTCTCGGAATCAGTCTGCTGCCTGCCTGCAGGCCGACTCCCAACCGCTCTCTGTCTCACTCGCACCCTCGCGGGACGCACCGCGAGCGCGACGCGGAGCGACGAAAAGCACTGTTCGCAACCAGCCCGCTAGCCAGGCGCGTGTCCCTGGAATCGATTTGCCGAGCCCACCGGACTTTTTTGCTCTGCTTGCTGTTTTGCGACGAGCCTGCCGGCGATACTCCGCGTTTTTACCCCTCCGTTCCGTTTAGCCACACGGGGATTGCCTTTTGCCTTTCTACGCAGCGCTGCCGCGCGGTCGGGCTGCAGCGGCGTGGGCCGCCTGCGGACGCCTGCGGAGCGGCGGGTAGGCAACCCACCGCACGCCGCAGCCTCGCGTCCACGCGGATTGCCTACCTCGACATTGCCATTACCATTAAGGGCTAGACCATACATGATCGTATGCCGTTTCGGGCCCGGCACAAGCTCGCCTGCACTGCGAAACGAGACGCGGCCGTCCTTGCGGCGTCAGAGTGGAAGCCTGGAGGCTATTGCTATTGCTGTTGCTATTGCTATTGCTGTTGCTGTTGCTATTGCTATTGCTATTGCTATTGCTATTGCTATGCTATTGCTATTGCTATTGCTATTGCTGTTGCTATTGCCATTGCTATTGCTGTTAACGCCCAAGTCTGCTACATGAGTGGCCGTCTCTCAACTCCACGATGACACCACCTCTTGGGGATGAACTACCGACATTCCTAGGATCTCCAGGACGTGGATTTACCGAGCCGTTTATTCGCACTTGGAGGACGGGAGCGGAAATGACAAAGGCACGAGGTTGTTTGTATTCGTTTATTGTAAGGTTAATAAAAATGATGTGGCGAGAGGAAGAGGATGGAGGGGTGAATAGTGTTGCAGCCGCGTCGGTGGCGCCGGGCGTTAGACGTGCGGGGACGTGAACCCGTTCTGGAAGCAGAATCGAACATAGCTAGCGTCAAGGGGCAGTCCCTGCGAGCACGTGACAAAACCACTCTACGGTGCAGAAACCAGAAACCAAAACAATCGAAAACAAATCGGTGGTGTGTCGGAGGGTGCCGTTGTAAACGCCCGGAGCCGTCGGCAAACACTTTCCATGCCAAAACACCTGGGGTTGGAATACTGTGCACATTGGGCCAGAAGACTTCGGTCTTCTGGCCTGGGTGCTGCTACACGCACAACGGTGGACAAAGTACGAAGTAGGGTGAGCTGCCGGTTATCAACGATACTTGGATTCATGCACACTGTACACTACTGGTGCGCCGTCCACACTCTCACACTCACACCGCTGCTGGATTACCTTACATCTTCAGGAGGAAGCCTTTTTCACGGCAGCGATTTTCTGCCAAACAAACGCGACATGAGAGCACTTCCGTCGCCATTTCTTTATTGCCATGATTGTCAGTACACAGTGTGGTGGGTCTGACAGTGGGCGGGGCGCGTGGGGGTAGAGTCGCCGACAAAAGCCCTCAGAAACCGGAGTATCTACCGCGCTGCACCAGCGACGCACTAGACGAGTTCGAGTCCTTCGAGTCGTCCCAGGCTGACGGTACGGTCCACGCGGAGATACCCCAGTCTCCGGCGATGCGGGCACGGCCGGACTCCTACACCTGACTTTTGCTCACGGATGAGACATTTACTTCGATTGGCGTGGCAACCGCAACGGCCGTGCGGGTCAGACTTTCTCTCGCGGAACAAAGTTCATGGCGGTCAGGTACTAGAATAACGCAGATAGAAGGGTTAGTCCGAGTGGGGCTGCCTGCCGAGGGGGCAACCACTTTTGATGTTTGGGGACACAAGATTTGCTCCTTTTTGGAGAATTCAGATTCCGAGAGATTTTGGGCGCCGAAAGGGACTCAAGATTTCTCGAGTGGTCGCCCCCTCGCTGCCTGTCTGCGTGGCAGTCTGGACGTCTTGTGCCGAGTCACTCCGTCTCTCTCGCACCCCTACGGGACGCGCCGCGAGTGCGAGAGAGACAGAGCAACGAAACGCATCCTTCGGAATCAGACCGCCGTCCCGAGAACAACTTACCTCCTTCGCTTGCTTCTTCAGGCAGTCGAAGATGAGTTTGGCCATCTCGTCGCCGGAGGCCTCCACACTGCCGACTGAAAAACCACAAAGAAAAGGTTTATTACTTTTACTTTCAAAATTTCTGCGCACGCCACTGCCTTATCGGAGGGCTGCCGGTCATGGAACTTGGGCCGCGAGGTCGCTAATCGGAGAAATGTCGAAACGCCGCGCTGGAGTTGAGTTGGCCGAGATAAGCGGTTGCGAGGGCGTGGCCGGCGTGGCCGGCGTGGCCGCGGCCGAGGCGTACGCGGCCTCCCCCACGTCGCCGCTGTCGCGGTGCTCGCAGTGTACTCACTCTCTTTGTTGCAGTTTTCGGCGATCTGCTCGGCGATCTTGAGCTTGGCCTCGCTGCCCGGCCTGCCGGCCATCAGCTTCCGCGCCACCTCCATGGAGCCCTCCTTGGAGAACTTGTTGTTCTGCATCTGCAATCGCATCGGATATGCCAGGCGAGTCGCGCCAAGAGCATCCCCAGTTCCGGTCGGACGTCGGCGGGCCGCTCCGCCACTCTGTCTCTCTCGCACCGACGCGGGACGCCCCGCGAGTGCGAGAGAGACAGAGCGACGGAAACATTGTTCGGATGGGTGTTAGCCTGCTGCAGGCAGAGCATGCGGACAGGTCTGCGTGTTTTGGCAGAGGATGCTTCCAGCGCGGTGTGGCCTGTAGTAGTGCGCTGTAGCGTGCCACGTGCACCGAGGTATCAGATCGGGTCATATCCACCAAGGTCCCGGCACATTTTTTTTTTTCATTTTGAGCATTGTTTAATAGAGAGAGAGTGGGTCACTTTCGAACGATGGATTCGTCGACCGCCAAAGCGGCGTGTATCCCTGAGGAGACTTTGGTTTTTGAGGGAAGGGAAAGAAAAATTTGGGATTTTGAAGTACTCACAATTTTGTTCTTAGTGAAGACACAAGCCATCATTTTCTGAAATTCAGAAAAAAAAACACGTTTACAAACTTATTCTTACACAAACTTAAGAGTGTCTTCAATGTCTGTTAATCCACTGTAAGTCACCTTGGCCGCTGGAGAGGTGAGCTCGTCCTTATCTTTCAGCTCGCTGACGTCCGCTGCAATCACAAAAACGGATCAGGATCCCGAAAAAAAAAACCGCGATTCAAACTGTAGTCTATATCCGAGTGGTGCACCGCATGGCAGCGCGACGAAGCCAGCCGCGGACTTCCCTACCGTCTGTGGCGCCGGCCTCCTGCTTGCACTGCTGCTTGATCTGCTTGGCCTTCTCGCGCTCCGCGTCGTCCACCTGAAATTATCGAAAGATGACAAAATTGTCACTCCACCCCACATTCACCAGTTTGCTTTAATTGTTAATCAACGACGATGAACAGCAGCAGGCTGGTTCCGCGCGCGGTTTTCGTTGCACAGTGGGCCAGCGGACCGGTGGAGGCGGCCAAAACTCTAGACACGTTTTGAGCTCTAGAGTCGCTGAATGGGACTGAACGTGTGACCCCACCAATGGATTGCTCTCCGAACGAGGAATCCATTGGTGGGGTCACACGCTCGGTTCGAATCCTGTTCAGCGACTCTGGAGCTCAAAACGCGTCTAGAGTTTCGGCCGCCTCCACCGGTCCGCTGGCCCACTGTGCGTCCCGCGGCGACACTCACGGCGGCAGCGCTGCAGACGAGGACGCAGGCGGCGAGCACGACGAGGACCTTCATGGTGTGCGTGGTGCCGGAGTGGCGTTGGTGTGCGGCTTGCACTGCTTGTCGGCGCGGCTGGAGCGAGCAGTGTGCCAGTGGGGCCGCCGGCACGCGGGCCTAGCCTTTATACTTCGGACACCGCGCCGCACCGCGCCGCACCGCGCAGCCCCTCCCCCTCCCCCTCCGCGCTGTCACGATTGGGCGCGCTGCCGGCCTGCAGCGCCTGGTCCAGCAGCAGCCCCTTGCCCTCCTTGTTCTTGCTGCGGCGCCGACCCGACAGGCCCTCGGACAGGCCGACACACAAGGACACAGTGAAGACATGATCCGATCGGTTTTGGTCCTTGCGCGAAACTTCTCTTTTTTTCCGGCGCTGCTGCCTGTCCTGTCCTTGGAGTATACTCCAAGTCCTGTCCGCTGAACAGTGCTTTCGTCGCTCTGTCTCTCTCGCACCACCACGGGACGCCCGATGAGTGCGAGAGAGACAGAGTGACGAAAGTACTGTTCGAAATCAGCCCGTCCAGGAGGACGGCCACAGGGGCGACGACACATGGGCGACAGTGACTAAACCTGCCGGCGTGTCCCCGTCTGATTCCGAGCAGAGCGCCGTCTCTCTGTCTTTGTCTCTCTCTTGCACCTCTCGGGCTCACTCAACGAGTGCGAGAGAGACAGAGCAATGGTTGTTCGGAATCAGCCCGCAGTCTGGAGGCGCGAATTCGTCGCGTTGCGTCCGGTGGGCACAATGGGTGGCCTGCATTGACGGGCAAGGTCGGGCCGGGCCCCAGGCCGTCCGCAACCCGTCACATCGTCGCACCGTCACATCCACGAGCCGTCCGTCACAGCAGACTGAGTCCGAGAGTCGTTCTCGTCGCTCTGTCTCTCTAGCACTAATGGGACCTCCTTTATGGGTGCGAGAGAGACAGGGCGACGAAAACGACTCTCGGAGTCCGTGTGCACGCCGACGGCGGACCCGAGCAACTCGGAGGCAACACGCCGCGCTGGCGAGGACTTCCCCCGCCCGTCGTCGCCGTCCTGGCTGGACTTCCCCGGTGCCACAGTGACATCGAGTCACAAACTTTGGCGCCAAACAGTGCCTCTGACGGTCACGACGTCAAATTTATTTCCGGCACCTTTTGTTCCGCCCGAGGGACTTCACCGCGAAGGCTGTGCATGTTGTACAGGCCGTGTTTATCGCTTTGCTGCAAAGCAGAGTGTGCGAGTGAAAACGAATTCATTATTAATCAGAGAGGCGCATTTTTAATGAAAAGTCCGCTCCGCGACCTCGCGCCTCGCGTCGAGTGCGTGTACAGTGTGGGCGCCGGCCCGTCGGATGCAGTACGGCGGCTGCCTGCAGGAAGGGGAAGGGGAGGGCTGCCTGCACCGCGTCTGGAAGCGCGGCCTGCGCCCGGGGGAGGGACATGTTCAGTAAAAATAGAGAACAACGACAAAAGTCAGTTGGTTCAGCCGCAGGGCTTTATTCGTCTTCAGCAGGGTTGTTGTTAGTACTGGTCCCGCTTCGCAGGCTTGGTGGCGTTCGGGTCCCGTCGCTCCGCCTTCCGCCCAAACGCGCGCCAAACGGCTTTCTGAAATCACGATTGCTCATCTTCATCCTCATCCACTAAGTCTAGGCTCGCAGCGCACTGGAATGGGCAAGCAAGCCGAAATTAGCGCGTTTTTCCTTCAGAGTCGCCCTCCGCAGCTGTCCTTACGTGTATCTGTGTCCGGAAGCACTCGAACAGGTTCTTGGCCACTTCTTCGGCCGAGTCGCCGCGGGCTGAGCAGAGAAATCGGAGCGTTTTAGTGATTAGTCGATTGCTGGCCTACCTCCCAGGCGCCAAGGGGGTAGGTCTATCCCCACGGCTGGAGACCAAGTAGTAACGCACCGTCTCTCTCGCAGACACCGGCGATGTGTTCGATGAGTTTCCGGCGCCTCGGCGAGTCCTTGTTGATGCGAAACGCGAGCTCGAGGACGGCCTCCTTGGAGTACTGGTTGTTCTCGTCCAACTGCACGAGGCAAGAATTTATTTGGTTTACACGCAAGAGTTTCTTTTAAAACCAACAACAAAAATTCGATCATCTAAGGAATTTTCTGCTGTGTACTTACGAAGTCAAATGCTCGGAACAAGCAGAGAGCCATTTCCTGAAAGTAAAGCAAAATGGAACGAGCAAGTTTCGAATTTTGTCCGAGGTACAGTGTGCCAGCACGCGCTACTCACCGCCCCTTTATCCGAGATCGGTTCCGACTCGTTCATCATGCTGATAAACAGTTCTGAACAAAACGACATGCATTACTCCGTGTGCACAGTGGGCCAGAAGACCTTTCGGTGGAGGCGGACAAAACTCTGGACGCGTTTTGAGCTCCTGAGTCGCTTAACAGGACTCGAACCGAACTGACCCCGCCAATGGACTTCTCGTTCGGAGAGGAGTCCATTGGTGGGGTCACACGTTCGGTTCGAGTCCTATTTGGCTACTCTGGAGCTCAAAATGCGTCTAGAATTTCGGTCGCCTCCACCGGTCTTCTGGCTCGCTGTGGTGTGGTGCCCCGACACGCTCCCATCCTTACTTATCTTGACGCCTGTCTCCTCCAGGCAAGTCCGGAACATGGTCTGGATGGCCTTCATGTCCTTGTTCATGCCCGAGGTGTCGTCGTCGGCGTCGTCGGCCTCCTCGGAGTCCTCGGCCTGCGGGGCGGGACTCACCCCGTCCAGCAGCGCGAGCACCACCAGGACGGCGGTCGCGAGGGCCTTCGTGGTGACGTGGACCTTCATGGCGGCGGGAAGCTTCTGCTGTTGCTGCTGCGCGGTGCGCTGTGCCTGACTCCGACTGCCTCCAATGCCACACTGTCGTCCCGAAATCCCCGACGTGGCCAAGCCATGCGGAGCCTAGCCCCAAATTTGACTGCCAGCTCGCGCCGACAGAGTGGTGACACAAAGGTGACACGCTAAACGGCCGTCCGTGCCGAGTGCAGAAGTGCCGGACGAGATCATCTGCCCCGCCGTCCCCGCCGTGCCGCGGCCGTGCCGATGCGTAATTGGGGCTCCTCCAGCAAGCAGGCTGCCTCCGAGCGGCGTGGCTCTGTCTCTGTCGCACCCACGGGGCTTCCCTTTGAGTGCGAGAGAGACGGTCGGCCGACACGGGCCGGGGCGCACGGACTCTCGGTGCATCCCGCCGCGGACCGCCGCCGACGAAAACCGTTTCGGCCTTCTGTGTGCCCAGCGAGCTGCGAGCCGGGCGAGCCCGGAAGATGCGCGCTCTCGCTCTCACGCCCGCGCCGCGAGCACTCTGTCTCTGTCACTCCAGGGCACTCCAAACCCGCCGCGAAGAGCAAAACACTGCGCCGCCTAGAGCGGTAGGCATCGCGCCTTTATCTCACTCCCAAAAAAATGTCTACAGGTACTGAGATTGGGCTTCCTTGGCGTTCAAGGTTTTCCGATTTCTGTGTTGGTGCGGGACAGTGTAAGGACTGGGACACAATGGACAATCAAGGAAACAAACTCGGAAACCAAGAAATCGCATTAGAAATTTTATTTTTTGTACATTTGCTGTGGACACTCTCTCTTCAAGCGGGGAAGAAGAATTTCTGCGGGAAAGAGAATCGAAGCAAATCAATAAAAGCATCCCCTTTTTGTAGGGTGCGGAAAGAACCATATTGATGAACTTCGTCTTACCTCTGGGTTGAACTTTTTGGCGCACGTGAGGTAGTTGAAGGCCAGTTCGCAGTTATCGGCACCAGCTGCACAGAGAGGACACGTGATTACGAAATGATTTCCCTCATTGGCCTTTTCCTTGGCCACCAGCAGACCGGCGGAAGCAGCCAAAATTCTAGACGCATTTTGAGCCCTTTGAGCCCGCGGTAAAAGTGATACACGCACTCTCGTCTTTGCAGGCGGCCAGCGACTCGATGGTGGCGTCCCTGCGGTGGGGCGGCATCATCTTCTCGGCCTGCATCTTCATCATCTTGGCGTCGATCTTGCCGTTCTTGATCTGCCAACAGAGCGCGTGTTTAGGCAGACCGGCCGAGCGATCCGTCGCTCTGTCTCTCTCGCACCCTTTCAGAGAGCGCCATGAGTGCGAGAGAGACAGAGCGACGTAACGACTCTTCTGAAATCGTTCGACAACACAAAAAACACAAAGACAAAGACACTCACCGTGCGGGTTGTGGCCATCAGGCAGCCCATGTAGCACTGTAGCAACAGAAAAAGTGCATAAAAATCGAAACCAACCATAATTTTGCAGCAGAAAACAGAGCGGCGCCGACATCGTTTACTCTGAGAGCTTCTTCGGAGCCACTTTTAACGAATTTTCCCAGCTTTTACTGTGAGTGCGCAGCGAGTTTCTTACCTTAACTTCCATCTCTTCGCCGAGGATCCCACTGGCAAGTGCGTCGAGTTGGGCTGCAACAAAACACAAAATTTTAGAGCATCTTACAAGGGGGCGAAGGACTATGTCGCGGTGACCCCGCCTTAAGTTAGGTGGCTACTCACCGTCCGTGGCACCCGTTTTCGGCTGGCAGACCCCTCTCACCATCTTGGCCGCCTTGGCCAGCTGCTCGTCCGTCACCACCTGTCGGGCACATGAGTTGACTTTACTGGACGTCCACGTGCGAGACCAGCTCGGCGGTTTAGACAGGCGGAGAGGTGTTGCAACGCGTTGGCGCTGGTTGGGGCCTCCGCCTGCGTCCTTATGCAACGCAGCACGCCCGCGCGCGAGGAGTGTTGCCGAGCCTTCGGGCTGTTCGAGGCGGAAGAGTTAAAGACTCACCGGCGATGCAGACGCCGCATGCCAAGTCAGGGCCAAGATCGCCGTCGCGGCGAGCAGCAGCGACACGCCGTCTCGTCGGTCTCGTCGTGATGCCTCCATGTCGTCGAATGCAGGGGCCGGGTCGCACCCGTTCTTTTAAATGCCGGAGGACTCAGGAAGGACCCTCCCCCGCAATGGACTCGCGTGTGGACAATAACCAACAATGACCGACGATGGCCAACTGTGACCGAGCACTGGGCGCCTGCAGATCACCGAATGGCCGAAGACCGAATCACCGACGACGAGGGGAGGGCCCAGCCTTCCCACCAATTGTCTTGGCAATGCGCACCGGGCACGCCGACCGCACGCTTAGGGCACGCCCATCCCAGCAATTGGTGCCCGGTGGTCGTGCTCACGCTTACATGTTTGTTTTCTCGAAAACGCAGGGAAATTCCGTGATGAGACCCGGGAGTTGTATGAGTGTGTGTGTGTGTGCGTGTACACTGCGGACGCGAGACAATCCTTCTCCGCTTGTTTCTCTGAACCACCGCTCCCTTTCCTTGAGTGATTGGTGACTTCGGATCCCGTTAATTTAACTCTTCAGCTTCCGTAGCGACCGTCCTGCTACGCTCTACGTTTGGGGAATGTTTTCTATAGCGGCGTCAAAAATAGCGACGAGAGCCAAAACAAAGCTTCCATCACGTGTGGCAACACACCGCGCTGAACAGCATTTCCGTCCACACATGCTACTAGTTCACTGTCTATGTCTAGCTCACGCGCGCGGAATCTAAACGCAGTCAAATGGTCTTACCCGTTGGAGCGCCTTCCAGGATAGGCATCCCCTCGTACTTCCTAGCGTGCAATCAATGTTCTCATAACGCTGCTTTCAATTTCTCATACAAAACGGAAGGGGAGGGGGAAGGGGTGTGTTGCGGGTTGCCGCTCGTGAACCTGTGGACGGACGGACTTTGCCTGCCTGCCAGCGCGCACAGTACTTTCCCGGCGACTTGTCACCGAGCTCCGCTCCGTATTTTTCTCCTTTCTCGAGCAGCCGTAAAGGATTCTCGCTTCGCTGCCATGGCTCGCGTTCTTGTCGGAGTTAAGAGAGTCATCGACTATGCTGTCAAGGTAATACGGATCAGCCCCCGAAAGTGCACTTTCGATGTTTGATTTTAGGAATCCCAGCTGATCTGTTTTTTTCGGGTTCAGTAGTTCAACCTTGAACCTTGTTGTTCTTTCCCTCATGGGGAGATTAGTCAGATACCCAGGGTTAGGATTGCAGCAAATATGTGACAGTCATTTCATTGCTCATTTCGGATTCTGCATGTTGCCATGTTAATGGCTTGTGGAAAATGAATGACATTTATGAATCAAAATGAATTTATTTTTATCTACCTATTATTAACCAAAATCAATGGGCTCTTCCTCAACTGGTAGTCCCATCATTTCTTACTCTGTATAAATGAGACGTTAATACCACTTAAAAATGACCATTTTTCAAACTACGTAATCTGAACTTCGTCGATGTTCTCAGATCCGAGTGAAGCCTGACAAGTCGGGTGTTGTCACTGAAGGTGTCAAGCACTCCATGAACCCATTCGATGAAATCGCAGTTGAAGAAGCAGTCAAGATGAAGGAGAAGAAGTTGGCTGCCGAGGTAGTTGCTGTTTCATGCGGTCCATCACAAGCACAGGTTAGTAATATTAGGGTTGTACTTGCCCTTAAGTGTAGCTGCAATTTGCATGTCCCTAACCCCCTTTTTTGTTTTGTTTTTATCCAGGAAACTCTGAGAACAGCGCTTGCCATGGGTGCAGACCGAGCAATTCATGTTGAAGTTTCAGGAGCAGAGTATGAAACCTTGCAGCCAATTCATGTTTCCAAAATTCTAGCAAAACTGGCTCAAGATGAGAAAGCAGATATTGTCATTCTTGGAAAGCAGGCATGTTATGTGCTGTAGATACAATTTTATACAAAATTGCATTGTTATTCCCTTTTTTTCATTTAAATTTTTTCTTAATTTTCAGGCAATTGATGATGACTCAAACCAAACTGCTCAAATGGTCGCTGGTGTTTTGGACTGGCCTCAAGCTACCTATGCCTCCAAGGTCTAGTATTCACATTGTTCACTCATTTCGGTGGCTCCTTCCTCCTCTGTCTCCCTATAATAATTTGTTTTGTCTTTGTGTATCAAGGTTGAGAAAAAAGATGGTGAACTGCATGTGACCCGAGAGATTGATGGCGGTCTTGAGAATATCAAAGTAAAGTTGCCTGCTGTACTCAGCGCTGACCTGCGTTTGAACGAGCCCCGTTATGCCACATTGCCCAATATCATGGCAAGTATCTCAGCAATTGGGTTGGAAGAGAGATAGTTAAAATGAAAATTTGGTTTTAACTCAATTCACTCCTTTGTCTTCTATTCCTGCAGAAAGCTAAGAAGAAGCCTCTGAAGAAAGTGACAGCAAAGGATCTGGGAGTGGACCTTGCCCCCAGAATCCAGATCATCAGTGTTGAAGAGCCTCCAGTAAGGCAAGCTGGCTCCATTGTTGGGGATGTTGACACTCTTGTATCTAAACTGAAAGAATCTGGCCATGTATAATTGATCTGTTGTATTGCTTTTTGTTGTATCTGTATCCACATCATGTATTTGCGATCACTGCTCTAGTGCCATCTGAGGTGAAACAAAGACATTTTGGTCATATTCTTTTAAGTGTTAATATGTATTCATAGATAAATATTTTTTACTGCTCTTTTATCCCATTGTACATGAAATCCAAAAAGCAATGTGTATGTTGAAATTTGTCTCAATTATATGAATGTACAGAATAAATATTAGGAAAAATAATACCAATATCATTTAACTGATTTCAATTTAATCAATAATGTCATAACACAGGATCCCATCTACAATATAACTTTCTCACTTTAAAAATGGTAATTAAAAAACACCAAAAGATACAAATTAGACTAAACTTTTTACAAACGCTCACAATATACATTTATTCTAAACAACAATTGCTTTTCTTATTTTTTCTTCAAAAATTACTTAACCTAGTGGCAAAACATCATCATCAGTAAAGGCTTGTGGTAGAGCCCCTGGGGAAGATACATTTTGTGATGGAGATACCGGAGCTTCAACCTTAATGCTTGGGCTTGATTCAATCTTGATAGTAGTAGGTTGTGACTGCTGCACAAAAACAGACTTTACCCCCATGGCTGTAGACTGCAAAAGAAAATGATATGGCAATTCCATCATTTATACTGGCAAAACTAATAGTCTAATACAATAGACTGGCCCTAAATCTCACCTGGGATGCAGTAGCGTTTCCTCCGGCCACCATTACAATTTGGTTAGAACCCAGTTTTACTACTGGTGATTGATTCTGTTTTTTGAAAATTTGAAATTATTAATCTTATTATAAAAAGCAGTAGTTAAACTGGAGCTCATAAGGACATAGAAAATCTTACCGGAGTAACAGGGTTTGAGCGTGAAGTAACAATGACATACTTCTGTTGTGAGTTGGTAGGAGTAGTAACTATCTGTCTGGCTGCGCCTGAAGGACTAGTTCCCGCTACCACAATTGATCTATTTACTCCTGTTGGAGTGACACCTGGAAGCCCACATCATGGTCATTAGCTTAAATACTGAACATTTCAAGAAGCAGACAAGAGCAAGGTAAGCTATATTAGACTCTCACCTGTTAGTTGACCTACTGGTCTTGCAGCCGCAGTAATAACTCCAGACGGCACAGCTGCAGCAATGTTTGTGCTGTTTGTGGAGCTACTCCCAGAACCTGTGGCTGGACTTTGTGGTGTAGCCCTCACCTTGAGAACTGCTGAATGGAGAGGTATTCCCATATACCCATACTCTGCTTTGTATTCTTCCATAATGTCTGGTACAGATCTCATGGACTTTATTATGGGAGGCAGTATTTTCTAGAGAGAAAATGAAAGGTCCATGTCAAAAAAATGTCTTGAACTGAAGTTGGGATGAAGTGAAGCAATGCAAGGCCAAGGGACATGTGACATACCAAAAGAAGATGCTTTATGTGTCCTGCAGCAATTCTGTCTACAGAACTGAAAGTTGGGCTGTCAAGTGCAGGCTCAATTCTTTCACCAAGATGTTTTATTCTTGGTATGACAAAGACTTTCACTACTTCTGCTCCTATTTCAGATAAGCCTACAAACGAGAAATAAATTTATTAGACAAGATCATTTGTAATGATATAAAATTTCAACTTTTTAACGTTTTTTTTTTTTGCAAAAAAAAAGTTAACGAACAAGAAGCAGTACCTTCAATTGCTCCATACAGGGATGAAAGTGGTGCTTTTTCATCCTGAAGAGCTGTACTAAACATTCGAGTTACTCTTGTTTGAATGTTGTTGGTTGACGTATTGAAATTTCTGCAAATTTGAGCAAGAAGTCGGCTTGCAAAGTCCCTCAGAGCCCAATGGTTATCCGAGTCAGGCCGCTGGCAAAGCTGTTTGCTTACAATGCATGTTACAACTGAAGGTAACAACTCATGAAGCTGGAAAAGAAAAGAAATAATATCATACTACAGTTGACCAATCAACAGGGCCAGTAAAATGCTGCCTATAAAACTAAAAACAAACAAAAAACTTACGTATTTTTCAAGGAAGAGGGTAGAGTTGTCCAGAAGAGCTTTTACCATTCTCATTAAATAAATAAGAAAGGCCAAATTATTTTGAACAACATTGACTTTGACTCCCTCAGCAATGAAAGTACACATTCTTGGTAGCATTTCATGTAATCCAGGGTCAACAGCCAAGCTTTGAAGTGCTTCCTGAAGACAAAAAAAAATTGCATAAAAATATTGATTGAAGAAACTACTATTTTTGCAGAAATATGGCAAAAACATACTGTTCTTCTTGCTTCATCAGATCCAACACAAGCTTCAGTGATTTCTTTGTAATAAAGTTGTTGTTCAACAGACAACTCATGAGTTGCAAGCTGCTTTATGTGGACCGTTTCAACGTTCCGTGGTTTTTGTACTTTCCTGTACAAGACGTCAAAAATTTATTGTTTTAACTTCATTCGATGTAATGAATATCTTCCGAATGGATGTACAGTTACTTACGCAGCTGCTGATTTTGATGGATCTTTGGCATTCGCTGCAAGCTTGGACGCTGGGTCAACACTCTCCAATTTCTGGACATCCTTTGATACAGGAGGAGGATTTTCAGGAATTGTTGGTTGTATTCCCTCAATTGCTAGCCAGTGCGCTGTGTTGATATGGGGGAAAAATTGAAAGGAAAGAATGATGAATTTTATTGAAAAATAATATTAGTTTGCAGACAACTTAAAAGTCAAGCCGTACCTCTTGTAGTTACATCCAGAGGAAGTTTAGGTAATTGACCGTTGATCAGCTCATTCAGATCCAATTCTTTTTCTTCAATAAAATGAAGTTCACGGCCGCCACCAGATGCAAATCGGAAAGGTATGTGGTCCGCTGTGTGGAAGCCATACAGAGGCTAGCAGGATAAAAAATAATTTTGTTATAGATTTGTTTAACTGTTTGATCAAATGAACTCAAGTGCTTACCAAGGTAAGTAAAATTATTATAAATTAGTTTCAAGCAGCATAGGGTGCTCACCTCAACTCCTTTAGCTTTCAGGGCAGCGTCAATATCTGTTGTACTCAACTTTTGTCTTTTGGCATGAAACATAAATTTTGCAGCATCCTGAAAGAGCAACAGAAAGAGATATTTATCGGAAGACTCAAAACGAGAATGCAAAAAGAATTGAGTGTGTAAAATGTGTTTTTAAAGGGATAAAATGAAAATTGTATTTATTTGTAAGTACTGTGTGAATTATTTAGAAAGTGGTCTCCATAATTTTGAGTCAATCAAGAATTTTGAGGTTATGGCGGACTACATGGTTGTATGTCACACTGATTCTAGGATTTATTTAGGAGCGTATGGAAGTAGTTTAATTAACTATACTTAAAAGTATATACCTGGATAATGATTTTTAGTCTATATGATACATCTTCTGCTAGTTCTTTAGCGGCTTCGTCCGGTAGATTTGGAACGCCGATCGTCTCCGCAATCACTTTTATGGATTCTTGGGACAGAGTCGTCCCGTACATGTCACTTTCGCTCATTTTAGCTGATCTGACACAAGCTAATGGCAATAATACAAATACAACATCATCTTTAACGGTCTTCCAGGGTGAGTAATTGAAGAAATCTACGGACACAAGTGCCACACCAACTGCCTCGACGGATGGCGTTTGTTGACTAACGCAAAACGAGGCTGCGTTGCAAAAGTCCCGGCCGCCGAGCCTTCGGACGTAGCCGCCGAGACGGTGGTGTGAATACTGGACGGACTGTCAGTGTCAGCTGTCAGCATCAGCTGATCTTGGCGACGGGGACTAGGGAAGTTACTTTCAAAACTGAAAAGAAGAAAAACTGGGAAGGGGGGAAAAAAAAAAAGAATTGCTGGGAAAGTTGGAGCGAGGTTATTTCATTGGAGTCAAAGAAAATATTTAGTCAAAGTATATGAAAACTTGTATTAAGTCATATAATTACTGAGAAAACTTAAGGAACTGTTGTTAATTACAAATTAAAAATATGAGATATGAGAAAGAACCCTTGTTCAAACTATAATTAAATCACAATAAAAGATTCTAAAGTTTTTAGTAACTTAGACTAGAATCAATAATATCAGACATACATCACAGCAAAACATAAGGTACTTAAGGGTTCTAAATTCTTTGTCAGGTATTTTAAATTAAAGTAAGAGTTAAGGTACATTGGCAGCTTAGAGATAAAACTTGACGACTTGAGTGCTTTAAGTACAAAATAAAAGGTATCACTAGCGGTAATATCTTAGATTCCACCGATGCCACATTGCACAACCTGTCAAAGAAAAGAAACAATGAAACGAATGGATACTCTATGACTCATGGTTGGATAACAGTTGGTGGGTATTAGTAATAACCCACCTGTGATGCTTTTGATGATTGAATCAACTACGACTCCAACTGGGGTGCTGGTGTAAGCAAGACCCGCTATGATCCCAGCTAGGTGTCCCATAAAGGAAGTATTTGGGACCATGACGTGGATGAGTATTAACTCCGCCCAGGGAGCATACTTGGAAGGCATTGGAATACCAGCAATTTTTGTTTGAGCATTGGGATTTGTCTCCATTGTTGCAATCACTTTCAAAGCAAAAAGAACACCTAAAACACAATCAGAAATCAAGAAATGCAGCTCTCCTATGAGCATATTGTAAAAAATATTTTGATTAAGACAGTGAATAATATCCTACCAGAGAAACCGATGACGCAAGTGTGGAGATGGGCATTGTTGGAAAACAATTCGGCAACGACCATTGCCGTAATCACGTAACATACATTGGTGAAAGCAGTCAAAAATACAAGCAGCAGAGCGAAATTGGCACTTCCATACCAAGGTTCCAAGGTTTTCGCTTTTGCCAAGAAAGAGACCATGTTGTAGAAGAGGTGGCGGTCATCTGCATGTTCCACAGCCGACAGGAAAAGTCTGTGCCATTCACGACCCTTCCAAATATTGTGTGCACTGAGGCAAGCTCCCCATTGGTCCCATGGCACATCAATGATGCCCATGTACAGAAGAGACTGCAAAACAGAAAATTTATCGTCAGTTCTCACGCTTACAACATTCCAAAATTAACTCGCTCAAAGCTATCTTATGAAGAACACAGACACTGCCAGTGCTAACGTACCTGTCCAATGATGGTCCCGAGAGTGACCGGGGGAATAACAGTGTAGCCGGTGCTCATGATTTCACTGAGCAACATGATCACACCCAGCCCCAAGCCTCTGCCTCTCCGGTTGTTCCTCATGACTGCTTGCAATATTCACCCAGAAACGCGAACGCGCGTCCTGCCGTCCTGCCTCGACCACCGCAGCGACTTCTCTGACGTGTATTCGTGCGAGTGGACAGGATTTTACGCTTACATCAGAATTTGTTGTCCTAGGCTCCTAGGCCCAGCAACAGAACAACAAAACAAACGTCTGCTATGCCTGCGAATAGCACTGTGGGATGAAAATCGCTATTGGCAAGTCCTGAAGCATTGATCGATAGCGGGATTGGGGTAGAGACATTCGAAATTTAAATTCAGAGGGGTGTGAGTAGAAGGGATCGTGCCGGTCTTGGAAGCTGTGCGCGCTGCGCACTGGCGACTGTCAACAACGACTGTCCACTGCTACTCCATTTCTACAGTTGCCTGCCCTGTCCGCGCGCCACCGCGCGCCAAACTCAAACGCAGCGCGAAAGGGTACTGCATTGCTGGCTGCTGCTTGCTGCCGTACTTCATGACTGAGGGGGCAGTAGTCTGATTCCGAGAGTCGTTTTAGTGACTCTGTCGCTCTCGCACCTACAGGGCACGCCCCCTGAGTGCGAGGGAGACAGAGCGACGTAAACGATTATTTCAGAAATAACCAAAATCGTTAAGTTCAAATATTTAGTGTACAAGTTAGTGTAATTTGGAGAAAAACAAAAACGTCAATGAAGTTTATTTCTTTTCATTTGACTGGTTTATTTTATTTTCCCAGAAAACTGGAGTGCGTGAACGAGACAGGGCAGCTGTCACGGTCCGCGAACCCGGCGGCGGCGGCCTGGCCACGGGGCTCACGGGGCGTGGCGGAGAACAACACCGCGCTGAGCCACGCCATGGCCACGCCGGCGTCGCGACGCCCCAGGCCGGGCCCGGGCAGGCCGGGCAGGCCGGGCAGGCCCCACGGGGAGCGGTGCAGTCCTACCGGCGGCGTCCCGTCAGTCTGTGTCTGCCACCCACGCCTCCGCACGCCAGGGCGCCAGGGCACCGCCAGCGCAGGGCCGACCGACCCCATCACTCCCTGCACAGTGCACCGGGCCGCGCCACGGCGACCAGCACCCCAACGCGGCCATGCTCCTGCCGGCCGGGGCCGCCGCCTGTTGAGCTCCACGCCGAAGGCGTCGAAGACCACCGAAGGTAAGCCCACTCGCTAAGCGTCGGGGAACTCCCACCGCCGTCGGCAGCGTTTCGACTTTGAAAGGAAAATACTGAAAATCAACCTCAAGCAAGGGTGTGCGTGAGGCAACGATATAAAGGACCCGCGAGACTCCAAATTTCCCTTTTTAATTTTAAGAAATAGCTGTACACGCTCGCCTCGTTCCATGCCGCCGTGGAAACGCGCCGCTTTCCCTGAAATTGCGGGCAATGCGGGCGCTGCCGGACTTCCGGCCGGCAAGGGGTGGGCCTCGGCCTCGCCCCGGCCTGCACCCTCATTCCGAGACTCGGCTTCGTCGCTCTGTCTCTCTCGCACCTATAAGGGGCGCCCCATGAGTGCGAGAGAGACAGAGCGACGAAAACGCGCCTGGGAATCAGTCTGGTAGTCTGGCGGAGTACCACATGCGGTACCTTGCCGCCGTAGGCCGGGCCGGTGCTGTGCGCTGAGCTGCTCGATGCACCCCGTCGCCTGGTATATCGACTGCTGGTCAAGCGGAGAGTAGGTCAGTGGCACGGCAGCGCGGCCCGCGCCGGCGCTGGCCCGGCTGCGGGCATTTCCGGGTAGATAGCAACTACCCCTCGCGGCTCGCGTTGCGCCCTGCCGCCCTGCCGCCCTGACGCCCTGGGGAGGGGAAGGAAGTGCGGGGGACCCGGGACACGCGAGCGGGGGCGGGGCACTTGTACGGGCCGCACCCCGGCGGCGTGGGCGGACAGTGGACAGGGCGTTGCGCTCCAATATCTGTATCATGGTTCGATGCGGCGTGCACGGGCGTGCGTGGTGTGTACAACCCCGGGCCGACGCGGTGGTCCCGTCCTGCGCGGCCCCCGCTGGACGGCTCTGTCACTGATAGGCCAGATAGGGTGGCAGGTGGAGCCCTGGGGTGGCCGTCGAAGCCAGCGCATGCACCCGTCGATGGAGCGCCCGTCCCGCCAAAACCCTAGACGCGTTATGAGCTACAGAGTCGCTAAATGGGACTCGAACCGGCCGTGTGACCCCACCAATGGATTGCTCTCCGAACGAGGAATCCATTGGTGGGGTCGCACGTTTAGTTCGAGTCCTGTTTAGCGACTCTGGAGCTCAAAACACGTCTAGAGCTTCGGCCGCCTCCACTAGTCTTCCAGCCCACTGTGCGGTGGAGACCTTTTTTTTCGCCGCCAGGGGTCGGGCTGGCGGAGGCACTCCTTGTCGTCGATTGGCTGCGATTAGCGCCCAATGGCGCGTCGCGCGGTAAGTGTCGAGTGGCGGCCGGGGCGGCCGGGGCGGCCAGGGCGGTGCCGCTGCCAGTAATTGCACATCGCCGTTGTTCTCGACTTCTCGACCAGCCTGGAGCTTCCGCCCGAACCCCCGAAGCGCGCGCCAAACGCGTCGTCCGGGGACTGTCTCGCAAGGTTCGCCTCCACTTCGGCTTCAACGACCACCCTCGGCGAGCGAGCTTCGGATTTCGGCTAATTAGTTACCCAACAAGCCGATCCGCTTTTTCCATGTTTGCTCCGTCGTGGCGTGCCGCCGCCGCCCCCGCCGTCTGGGCTCAGCAGACTCTTCTCGAGCGTCGTTTTCGTCGCTCTGTCTCTCTCGCACTCATGGGGCGTTTCGTACCGGTGCGAGAGAGACGGAGCGACGAAAACGACTCTCGGAATCAGTCTGCTGGGCGGGCGCGGGGCGCGAGGCAGACGCACCGAGACCGAGGCACGCGGGCTGCGATGCATGTTGCGCATTCCATGTTCCTGCCACGCGCCGTGCGCCGCGCGCTGGTGTTGCATGCGTTGTGCTGCATCGAGCTCGCAGACTTGACGCCCTGGTTGCGTGCTCTCGCTCTCTCTCTTTCTCTCCGTCCCTCTCCCTCTCTCCCCCTACGAGACCAGTAGACCGATTCCAAGAGTGGTTTTCGTCGCTGTGTCTGTCGCTGGGGTGTCCCGCTGCTGGCGTGCGAAAAGGACAGTGACGAAAACGACTCTCGGTGTCAGTCTGCAGACATGCCGGTCCTTCCCCCAAGCTCGAGCGACAACGACGTTTGTCCGCGTTCGTCCGTTCCAGACTCTTCCGGGGCTCTTGGCGGTACTTCCGGCCATGGCCATTCTCCCGCTATCGACGCCGCCACCCGATAGAGGGGCGGGGTGGGGCCATCGCCCCCTCCCCCCCGCCCCCGGACCTCCTTGGCGGATTCTAAAGGAACGCGCCGGCATGCCCCCGACCTCAGCCCCTGCCCCCGTGGGGCCTGGCCCGGGGCCTGGCCGCCCTGGTGCCACCCTGTGCCGGTGCGTCGGCGTGGGCCCGGCGGCGTGGTGGCGTGTGTGCGTTCCCCAGGCCCAGAGGCGGTAGGGCGGCCGCCTCGCTGGCTGTGGACAAGCAGTGCTCCGAGCAGGCGGGCCGACCATGGGTAACTCGGCCGCCGGCTCCTTTCCCGCGGGCGCCGCCGCGGCCCAGGTAAGACGCGCTGTTTTCGAGTTGGCGGGTTCGAATCCCCACCAAGGGCGGCGGCGTTTTTCTTTTGGCCGTGAGAAACAAAGCCCCGCCTATGAAGGCCTGACGGCGACGACGCCCCACGGTGACGCGCCCAGCCGCCGACGGCACGACGCCCAAGAGGCGCCCGTCATCCAGCTCGGGCAGCGCGACGCCCGCGGCCGACAGGCCGACAGGCCGACACCCGGGGGCCACGCCCGGCACTGCCATCAAGTGCGCGTCGTAGTGAGGCCAGGGGGAACGTCTCAAAAGTCTTGGATGAGTTTCGAAAATATTGACGTCGAGCGTTGACTGATCTCAAGGATTTCGGTGAAATCCGCCTCCTTGCGCACAATGGGCCAGAACGGGCCCGAAGACTGCTGCAAACGGCTCCAGAGTCGCTAAACAGAACTCGAACCGAACGTGTGACCCCTCCAATGGATTCCTCGTTCGGAGATGTCGGAGAGCTATCCATTGGTGGGGTGACACGTTCTGTTCGAGTCCTTTTTAGCGACTCTGGAGCTCAAAACGCCTCCAGAATTTTGTCCGCCTCCACCGATCTTCTGGCCCACTGTGTTGCGTGACGGTGTAGCAATGCGACCCTCTGACTCGCTGGTCCACGTCCAGCACGGTCCAGCAGCTCCGCGTTGCCCCGCGCGGTTCGCTGTTTCGGCCTGGTCCTCCTCGGCGCCGTTCCTTGCCTCCGTTCCGTTCCCCGTTCTCTCCAGCGCAAGATTTGTGGCGCGCACGGGGACACTAATGACTTGCAGGACCGTCGCTCTGTCTCTCTCGCACTCATGGATCGTTCCGTTGCGGAGCGAGAGAGACGGAACGACGAGGCTCTGTTCGGAATCAGCCAGTCGGGCCGCCCCGAAGCTTCGCCAGCGACTCCGGCGAACGGCGAGGCCCACGCCCACGCCGTCGGTTTAACGTTTAACCGCAGGGAGCTAGTTTCGAACCCCGCTGGAGTGGTTCAGAGTTTCGCGCACTAATCATTTTGCTCTCCCCACAGATGGCGCTGAGCGGGCCGCAGGTGCACATGCAGCTGCCGCACCTGCCCCACTCGCAGAGCGAGCCCTCCAGGCTGTGCCAGCTGCGGGTAAGTGTGTGGCGTGGCGGTCCACAGTGGGCCAGAAGATCGGTGGAGGCGGCTAAACTTCTCGACGCGTTTTGAGCTGCAGAGGCGCTAAATGGGACTCGAAACGATCGTGTGACCCCACCAATGGATAGCTCTCCGCACGAGGAATCCAATGGTGGGGTCACACGTTTGGTTCGAGTTATGCTCAACAACTCTGGAGCTCAAGCCGCTTGCAACGGTGTTCTGGCCCACTGTGCGGTCCTCGCGATGGTCATGCAGTACGAACTGCGCGAGATTGGCCGATTTGGAGGCGAGCACGACGACCACGGCGACGGCGTCCATAAAGAGAGGCCGCCTTGGCCGCCCACATCGAGGCCGTGGTGCCCCCTTCCCGCAGTGCCCCGTGACCCCGCGGCCCGACGGCTCGCGGCCCGCCGAACAACGACGGCGAAGCAAAAAAACAAAAACGCGTAAATATATCTAATTGCCCTGGGAGCTGGGGGATAGACTGGACTCGCCCCCGCAGCACCGGCCCTGTCGGCCTGTCTCTCTCGCACCTCTACGTGACGCCCCACGAGTGCGAGAGAAACAGGGCGACGAAAACAACTCTCGGAATGAGTCTGCAGGCCGCGGCAGGCCGTCGAGGCGGGGGCGGCTGAAGCCGAACGATCGCCCAATTAAAGGCCATGGCCGCTCCGCGCGTGTCCACCGTCTCGGACCCATCGACCAGCACACTGAGAGTCGTCTCGTCGCTCTGTCTCTCTCGCACTCACGGGGTGTCCTGCGGGCGAGAGTCATCGGGATCGCTCGGGCAGGCCGGCGTGCCGCCAGTGTGGCGGTAGGTCGTGTCCGGCACGTTTAGCGGCCGAGGAGTGCCAAGTGCCTGGCGAGGGTGGCGGTGACTGCCGCCCGTTCGGCCGTTGGGGTTTGTCGGGGTTGGCACCGCCGGCATGGCTCCGCGACACGCACGCTTGCTTTGCGGCCAGTGTTGTGGCAGCCCTGCGGCCCCACAACGCCGACCCCCGCGGCCTCCAACCCTCGGCCTAGCCTCGGCGAGGGCCGGTCGGTCAGTCACGCCGTCGCCGCGCTGCCCGGACAGACCGCTGGACACGCCGCCGGACTCGGCGAGCTCCGTTTGTTGTGGACATTCCCCCGCGCTCCCACGCCGCGCCCTCAGCCCTTCGGACTCGGGGCGGGGCCCACTCCGATCGCTTCTGCCGCCCTCGTCCGCGTCCTCGACGGATGCCCCCAGCATGTCCTGGGGCTCCGGGGCCACGGTGTCCTGGGCGGAGCGCAGCTGGGGAGCCGTGCCCGTGCCCTCGTACCAACACGATGATCTGGTGAGTCAAAAGGCGACGAACCTCACCTTCATCAAACTGGGATACTTCCACGGAGGTTGCCCCGTACACCCCAAGTAGAGGGTGACTGCCTCAAGCAAGACACGGACTGCATTTGAGGTTTGCATTCTGAGTCCTGTGTTTGTTGTAGTTGCTTTTCGAACGCTAGGGGTCTGCTGGGGCCTAACAAACGGTGATGGTATTCACCGAGACCTTGCTTGTTTTTGAAGTTACATTAAAGAAAATAATTATTTTTTGAGTTGTAAAATGCCAAGTGATTGGAAGAGACTCGATCCGTGCATCAACTCGAGCGTCGTGCCCGGAAAAGGCAGTGGCTGGACTCGACGGGCGGTTGGTTATTGCTCCCTGTTGCAGACTGTTGCACTTGGATGCACCCCGTCGCACCGCATAGCGCGAGTTTTGTTTGTTAAAAAATTTATTTACAACTCTACAAAATCGTAGTCACAAAGTTGAAACCGTTTTTGTTCTGGTGTCAAAAAAAAAGTATGAGTTTCATCGCGGATTTCGGCTATTAGAGAACAAATTTCTGTGGTCAGTAGGTATATCTGCAGTCAGTGACCAAATGACCAAGGATTTTTCCTCATTAACGATCATTTTTCCTAGAAGCGTGCGAGATGGGGGTGGCAGCGGGGGTTGAGGTCAGTTAGTGCTAGCGGTTTCGCATCGGATTTCCCAGCCGACGGACTTTCCCGACCGTTTCGCGTCCAGTCGGAGCGAGGGCACACGCGACGGGCAGCCCCGGCCGGCCTCGGCCCCTGGGGAGAGCGCACAGCGACGGTGGGCCAGAAGACCGGTGGAGGCGGCCAAAATTCTAAACGCGTTTTGAGCTCCAGAGTCGCTTAACAGGACTCGAACCAAACGTGTGACCCCACCAATGGATTCCTCGTTCGGAGAGCAATCCATTGGTGGGGTCACGCGTTCGGTTCGAGTTCTGCTTAGCGACTCTGGAGCTCAAAACCTGTCTAGAATTTTGCCCGCTTCCTCCGGTATTCTGGCCCACTGTGGGGAGGCCTCGGCGAAGGCGGTGGCGGCGGGCGCCGAGGGGGTGGAGGGAGCGAGGCGCGGGGTCAGGGGCCGCGGGTACGTACCCTTCTCTACAAACTCAAGTGTGTACATAGTACACTCCACCTGAAGTGTACATGCATGTACACTTCAGCCTGGAGTGTACTTAGCATGTACACTTCAACCTGGAGTGTACTTGGCATGTACACTTCAGGTTGGCGTGTACCTTCAGGTACACTGTTGCTGGCTCTCTGCTGCTGGTATGAGCCACCTGGCACGCCAACCTGGAGTGTACACGCCAAGTACACTGCAGGGTGAAGTGTACATGCCAAGTACACTCCAGGGTGAAGTGTACATGCATGTACACTCCAGGTTGAAGTGTACGTGCATGTACACTCCAGGTGGAGTGTACTATGTACACACTTGAGTTTGTAGAGTTCGGGCCTTCGGCCCTTCGGCCAGGCTGGCCCGGTCGATATAGGCAAAACCCTTTGCCTAACGGGGAAGTGGCCCCGATCCGCCACGCCTAGGCGGCCCTACGCGGCCCTACGCGGCCCTACGCGGCCCTGCGCGGCCCTACGCGGCCCTGCGCGGCCCTACGCGGCCCTGCGCGGCCCTACGCGGCCCTACGCGGCCCTACGCGGCCCTACGCGGCCCTACGCGGCCCTGCGCGGCCCTACGCGGCCCTACGCGGCCCTACGCGGCCCTACGCGGCCCTGCGCGGCCCTACGCGGCCCTACGCGGCCCTACGCGGCCCTGCGCGGCCCTACGCGGCCCTACGCGGCCCTACGCGGCCCTGCGCGGCCCTACGCGGCCCTACGCGGCCCTACGCGGCCCTGCGCGGCCCTACGCGGCCCTACGCGGCCCTGCGCGGCCCTACGCGGCCCTGCGCGGCCCTACGCGGCCCTACGCGGCCCTACGCGGCCCTACGCGGCCCTACGCGGCCCTGCGCGGCCCTACGCGGCCCTACGCGGCCCTACGCGGCCCTGCGCGGCCCTACGCGGCCCTACGCGGCCCTACGCGGCCCTGCGCGGCCCTACGCGGCCCTACGCGGCCCTACGCGGCCCTGCGCGGCCCTACGCGGCCCTACGCGGCCCTGCGCGGCCCTACGCGGCCCTGCGCGGCCCTACGCGGCCCTGCGCGGCCCTACGCGGCCCTACGCGGCCCTACGCGGCCCTACGCGGCCCTACGCGGCCCTGCGCGGCCCTACGCGGCCCTACGCGGCCCTACGCGGCCCTGCGCGGCCCTACGCGGCCCTACGCGGCCCTACGCGGCCCTGCGCGGCCCTACGCGGCCCTACGCGGCCCTACGCGGCCCTGCGCGGCCCTACGCGGCCCTACGCGGCCCTGCGCGGCCCTACGCGGCCCTACGCGGCCCTACGCGGCCCTGCGCGGCCCTACGCGGCCCTACGCGGCCCTACGCGGCCCTGCGCGGCCCTACGCGGCCCTACGCGGCCCTGCGCGGCCCTGCGCGGCCCCGGCGGCCCCGCCCCCGTTCAGCAGGCCCGGGGAAACAATTGAGCGTCGGTGCGTGCGGCCAGGCCAGGCCAGGCGCCGCCGGGGCCAAGCCAAGGCAAGCCAAGCCAAGGCAAGCCAAGCCAAGGCAGCGGCAGCCGGCGGCCCACTTCCGAATAAGGGCGGCTGCTTGCTGCCTTGCTGCTTTTCGGCCGGACAGCCCCGACAGCACGGACGGCAGCCCGGCGCCGCAGCGTGACATGGCACGGAAAAGAATAGAAAAACTCAAGTAGGGGGGAAAATGTCGGAATATTTGAATTTGGAGTCACGCATTGCGCGTAGGGGTCAATTCTTTTGCGCCCTTTCCCTTTCTGAAATGTGGAACAGCTCGGCACGACCTCGGCCCCTAATGAGCCAAATCATTCTGCCAATGGCGCCGCTGGCGCTGGGTGCTGTGGCGGCCTGCTTTGACATGCACGACCAATAAGCACTTGGTGGCGTCCTCGCGACGACCCGACGCCCTCGCCGGTGGCGCCGCCCTGGCCGCCCTATGGCCGCCCTGGCCCTCCCCCCTCATCAAGTATGGACGGCCGACTCGGGAGGTCTGCCGTGCCTCCAATCTCTGCTGGAAATCACAGCCCATCTTGTCTTTTTTTCCCTCTCCAATATTTCTCTTCGTCCATAAAAAATAATTGCATTTGTTTATTTTATTTCCTAATAAAATCTTAAAAAAAAAAGTTTTTTTTCCATATTTGTAGAAATTGTGGTTTGGCCTGACTTTAGGCAGCCACTGCGACGAAACAAAATAAGTTGACGATGATCAATAAGCACATTCCAGCGCGTGCGTCACTCTGGGACACTGCCTACGTCCGTAATGATGGCAGCAACGGTATGGCTCGCGGCTACCCCTGGCACCCCTTCAGTCCCTATCCCCCCCCCCAACCTCATTCCCAGTGATTAGGGACAGGGTGCCACGCGAGATGGACAGATAACGGAAATGGAACCCCCTCTACTTTTTTATAGGTCGCAGTCAGGTACAGGTACAGTCAGGTGCATTTAAAGTGAGGTCAAACGGGAGCTTGTGGATGTGACTGTACACTGATTATATTCATTTATTAACGTTCCGGTTATATTTTTTAAAAAATATTTTTTTATGGTGGCGTTAAGTTTTGGCAAGGCGCCCGTGGCGCCGCCCACGCCTGGGAAAGCACAGCCAATAAACAGCGCAAACGATCGCGTGGCTGTGGACTCGATTCCGGACTCGTCGCTCTGCCTCTCTCGCACTCATGGGGCGTCCCGTATAGGTGCGAGAGAGACAGAGCGACGAAGACGACTTTCGGAATCGGTCTGCAGGCCGGCCGTCGGCCCGTGTTGGGGCAGGGAAGGCAGGGATGGATGCGCCGCCGAAAAGGCACGCCGCTGTCAGCGTGCTGGCCGTGCCGTGCCGTGCCGTGCCGTGCCGTGCCGTGCCGTGCCGTGCCGTGCCGTGCCGTGCCGCGCCGTGCGCTGCTTTCTACCCTCCTCTTTCTTTTTCGGGCTTCATTTCGTTCTTTTGTACGGGCACGCCACTCTCGCGACCCGAAAAAAATCGACCGCGCGGACTGACCTATCACGTGTGCCCCCGAGTGCCCGTGTGTTTGTAGTGTGTGAGTGTGTGTGTGAGTGTGTGTGTGTGTGTGCGTCGGAGCGCGTGCCGTTAAACGGATGTTCCGATGATCCCCTGTGACGTGGCCTGCTAGCGATCCAGCACTGCAAAGCCCGCGGCAATGCTAGCGGTAAGTTTGCTCGCCACAAATTTGGCAAGCCGTTTCGAACCACAAAACTTTTTTGTGTGTGTTTATTTTTATTTTGTTTTAAATGTCGCTTGACTTTTATTTCGCGGCGGCCGTCACTATATGGGCGTTGCTCCGATTTGCCGAAGGTCGTTCGGGATGTCGCGTTGTCGCGCTGCCGCGCCTCGCCCCCTCGGCTTCCCACGGTGCTGCCCCGCGTCGCTCCGCCTCGCTCCGCCTCGCTCCGCGGCCGTCTAGTCCGCAACTCCACGGCCTAGCACTGGACGGCGTCGCGACGGCCCGCGCGCGGCCTGTCTGATAGTCACAGACACACATTACTGCGCGCCGCGCAGCGTGGTCGCCGGCAGGCCGACTCCGAGGGTCGCTTCGTCGTTGTCCCTCTGTCGCACTCACGCGGCGTGCCGGCGTGCCGTCGGGGTGCGAGAGAGACAGAGTGGCAGCCTGCTGGGCGTCGCCGCGTCGGGGCGCGTCACGTCGTCGCCCTGGATGCTGCTTTATGCGTCCCCGGACGGCTCGGACGGATCCGCAACACCGTACGCGCAACGCCGTACGCGCAATGCGACGCGCCGGACTCGGCGCACTGTGGGCCAGGAGACCGGCGCCGGCGGCCAAAACTCTAGACGCGTTTTGAGCTTTGGAGTCGCCAAAGAGGACTCGAACCGAACGTGTGACCCCATCCAAGGATTCCTCGTTTGGAGAGCAATCCATTGGTGGGGTTACGTGTTCAGTTCGAGTCCCATTTAGCGACTCAGGAGCCCAAAACGCGTGTAGAGTTTTGGCCGCCCGGCCGGCGAGCGCCTGCGACTCTCGGGGTAGACCGGCCCGCAACACGCGCCGGCTCGACAGAGCGGCCTGCCTCACAGGCGCTCCGAGCGCTCGCGCGCGCCCGGGGAAGGCAGCCTGCGCGTGAGTCTGTCTCTCTCGCACCTCTCGCCTCGAGCCTCACGCCTCACGCCTCGGGGCGTGGGTGGAGCTGCCACGAAGTGCCTCGCGCGACACTTCGGCACAATTGAATGGGAGACACGGCGTCGCCGCACGCCATCCCACTCCCACTGCCGCTCTGCCGCTCTGCCGGCCAAATCGGGGCGCGCCGCCAGACGAGACACGACTCGCTGGCTACGGCTACAGTGCCCGGTCTCTCCATCCATCCATCCATCCATCGTTGCACGTTCCGCGCGAGACTCCCCCGCCAGCCGCGTAGCCGCGTAGCCGCGTACAGTGTACAGTCGGTAAGTCCCCTCGACGGAGATGACCGCGGCCACGGTCAATGCCGGCCGCGGTGTCCGAAGCGACGCGACGCGACGCGGACGCTCGCCCCTTCCAATTCCCCCGACTTCCTCTAAATTAATTATCCCCGGCTCGGCGTTGTCGGCTTGGCCTGCGACCCGCCTGTCGCCGCCTGTTCGTCCGGCCCAACCGAAAACAGAGGCTTTCAGTGGAGGAGCACGGCGCGCTGTGGAGCTGCGCGTCGCGGCCGCAACAAGTTTTCCAGTGTGCCATGTCGAGAGAGCGCGAGTAGTTTGAAATATCGACTGCTTTGCAAGCCGTCGGACCGTCTCAGCGAGACGTGGTCGAAATGTGACATTGTCCCGGCCGCGAGCACGGCGAGCACGGCGACGACGCGGTGGCCGGGCAGGCGGGGCGGGGAGGGGGCAGGGGGCGCCAGCCAGGTCATGAGTGGGAACCTGTTATGGTCGCAGAGTGGGCAGCTGGTGTGCCACCAGCCCGTGTTCCTGCACTCTGCCCCCCCCCCTCTCCTCTGGCAGCGTGACTCACAGCAGGCCAACACCCCCGTCAGCCTGGCCGCGTCACTTACAGGCGCTGCCAAGAGTTTCGCCGACACTTTCCGCGGACACCGAGTTGTTGGCGGAGTCGGTTACCGCCAGCGTGTCGTTTACCTTCCTGGTCCCTGCAGACTGATTCCGAGAGTCGTTTTCGTCCCTCTGTCTCTCTCGCACTCACGGGTCGTCCCCTGTAGGTGCGAGAGAGACAGAGCGACGAAAACGACTCTCGGAATCAGTCTGCTGCAAGAGACCAGCGCGCCAACTGGAAGCGAACACACAGCGGCAACGCACTTCTTCGAACTTTTTCACTGATTCGAGTCCTGTTTACCGACTCTAGAGCTCAAACCGCGCCTTGAATTTTGTCCGCCTCCACCGGTCTTCTGGCCCACTGCGCATCGCCCTGGGCCGTCGGCGCCGTCGGCCCGACCATCGCGCTCATCATGCTCCCGCCGTGGGAAATCAATCCACTTAGATCGGCTCGATAGGCAGGCTTGAAGGCGATCGGCCTCATCGCCATCAGCATCATCGCCGTGGCGCGAGAGCAAGCAGAGCCCGTGGCTGTCGATTGGGATACCGTTTCAGCTCCAAGCACACCGCGGCGCTGCCGCACAGTGGGCCAGAAGACCGGTAGAGGTGGTCAAAATCCTGGACGCGTTTTGAGCTCCAGAGTCGTGAAACAGGATTCGAACCGAACGTGTGACCCCACCAATGGATTGCTCTCTGAACGAGGATTCCATTGGTGGGGTCACGCGTTGGGCTCGAGTACTATTTAGCGACTCAGGGGCTCAAGACGCGTCTAGAGTTTCGGCCGCCGGCGTCGGCCTTCTGGCCCACTGTGCGTGGCTAGGTGCGGGCCGTCAGGCCGTGTCCGTCGTTTGGAGGATACCCGAACACGGCAGGGGAAGGGCCGTGATGGCCATCGTGGCCATGCTCACCGGACGAGCCGCATTTTTAACATGCATTATTATTGGCACCGTTTTTGGATCACGCTGAGAGACCATTCACACTGCGCGCACCGGCTTATCGGCAGGCTGGCCGTCAGTCCGGGCTGGCAGCCAGACAGGCGGACAGGCGGACAGACAGGCAGACATCGGCGTTGAATCAGCGGCACCTTTATAAGGCCGGGGCCCGTGGGTCGGGAGGGAAGGCAGCGCGGTGCGGCGCAGCGCCCACTGTCTGCTGCAGCTCGCGACCCCCCCCCCTCCCCCCTGCCCCCTTCACCGCGAGACGCCCTCGCTGGCACGGCGCGGCGGGGCGCGGCGGGGCGCGGCGGGGCGCGACGGGGGCCTTTGGAGCCACCTCTGCCGGCCGGGCTCCTCTGGTCTGCACTCGTCCGGCTCAGTGCGTTTGTCGAAGGCGCCGAGCCCACCGCTCTCGAATCTCGTGTCGTGGCGCGCAGGAGAGGCGTTTGTGACAAACGTGACCGGTCCAGTGTGACGCCGCGCGTGACGAAAGAACAAAGTGGTCGTGATACACTCGTCAGTGTGGTGCGTACGCTCTCAGCGATGGACATTACGCTTGAGGAGGAAAAGTGAAAACTGAGTGCAAAGTTCTCCGGCAGAATTGACGCGTAAGTGTGAGTGTGCGCGTGGAGTGTGTGTTTGTGTGTGTGTGTTCGTCAAGATAGTGGCATATGTCTCCAGGACGCTGGAGCGCTAGCGCTGCAGCGCTAACCTCTCGGCCTCTAATATCATCTAAATCACCGCAGCAGCGTGAAATTTTAAGTCTCGTACAGTCCGAGTCGAAGTTCCTCTCTGAACCTTTAAAAAAGACCACGACTCACGGTTCGTTCCGAGTAGCCCCTGGGCGACATTGCAGGCAGGAAGTCAGTTCCGCCTATCCAAATAGTTTACGTCGTTGCTAGGATCAGCCTTGATGCTTTGGTGGGCGTGCTGGGCGCGCGCTGACGGGCATGCCGGACGTACGCAAGTACAAAGTCAGTGTCCTGGCGCGCGGCGCGGCGCGGACGGGGAAGCAGTCCGTAAAGTCGACTTATATGGCGGTGCCACCACGCCGCGCCGCGCCGCGCCGGGCCGTGCCCTGCCCGCTGACTGCGCCGAGCAGCGCCGAGCAGCGCAGAGTCGTCCGGGCCCAGCGGAGCGGTTCCGAGCGGAACGTCATGTCGTTCTGACTATGACGCCCCGTGAGTGCGAGAGAGATGGACGCCTTCCTCTCGGAACCGTCCTGCTGGGCCCTGCTCCAGGCCGCCGCCGTGGTCCCCGAGCACTGCAGCCGGCCGCATTACACACTCAGGTCCATCGACTGGAGTCTCTGCAGCTGATTGCCGAGAGTCGTTTTCGTCGCTGCCTCTCCTCTCTCGCACTCGTGGGGCGTGCTGCGCAGGTGCGAGGGAGACTGAGCGACGAAAACGAGTCTCGGAATCAGTCTGCGGGCTTCCGGGCGACACGAAGGCCTTGTTGACGGCTTGCGGCTTTGCGCTTTGCGGCTGGCGGCGCCGCGCTGGAGGCGCTGGGGGTTGCGGGCAGCTAGTCGGGGCAACTTCCCCGTTCGGCTTGAGGCGTAAGGGGACCGCCGTTCGCTTCCCCTTTCCCCCGCTACATTATTAAGCTTGCGTGCACATCGGCGTATCGACCTAGTGCGGGCGAAGCGCAACGCCTACGCCGCGCCGGTCGCTGTCGTTGGCGGGGACCTTCATGACGTTTGTGGCGACCTGTTGTGTATGCGTGCATCGGTGCGTGTGTGACTCTGGTTTCTGATGCAGGCGCGCTACCAGCAGCAGCAGCTGGCCGACAAGGAGAAGCGCCTGCTGCAGGTGTACGCCGAGCAGCGCGCCCAGCAGGAGCGAGCCTTCCAGCGAGTCAGCCAGGCCGGCAACGCGGCCGGGTCGTTGTCGTACAGCCACGGCAGCGCGGGCAGCTCGTCGTCCAACGCGAGCCAGTCCTCGCAGAGCTCGCTGCCCTGCGGGAAGGTGCGCCAGCTGTTCGAGGGCCGGCGCAACGGCCAGCACGGCGCCGGCAGGGACCGCGGCGCCCCCCTCGCCCCGCTAGAGGGCCGCACCAGGGCGCCCGCCCTGGGCTTCGCCACCAGGAGCAACTCCAACGTCAACCTCAGCCAGACCTACCACTTCGGCCAGCACCACCGCTACCCGCCGCGGGGCCACTCCCTGGACCGCGACCTCCGCCACCGACAGGTTCGGTTCCCGCAATTCCGTCCGGGGCTTTAATTAATCAATTTTAATTAGTCTCGCTAGGCTGTGTGCTTTGGTGCGGCAGGGCGACTGGGCGCTGCGCGGCCGGCAGCGCGACTACGCCAGCGACTCCTCCGACGGCGGCGAGTCTCCGCCCCCGTACGACCGGGACATCCGAGACGGCCGAGACGGCCCGCACTACCACGAGGACTTCCGCATCCTCAACCGGCTGCCCAACGTAGGCGGCGCGCTCCTGTCGCAGTCTCAGGTACGCCGCTCAACGCGCAGCGGCGCAGCACAGTGGGCCAGAAGATCGGCGCCGGCGGCCAAAACTTTAGAAGCGTTTTGAGCTCAAGAGTCGCTAGACAGGGCTCGAAGCAAGCGCGTGACCCCACCAATCGATTCCTCGTTCGGAGAGCAATCAATTGGTGGGGTCACACGTTCGGATCTAGGCCCGTCTAGCGACTCTGGAGCGCAAAACGCGTCTTAAATTTTGACCGCCTCCACCGGTCTTCTGGCCCACTGTGCGCAGCCTCCGACTTGGCCTGGCCGGCCCGAGCCAGGCGCCATTCAAAGCCCGAGTTGTTCTACAACAGCCATTGTGTGCCCTGCCCACAGCCTGCCATGGCGCCCCCCGGACGGCTCTCCGCCCCCGGCACCGTCGCGGGCCGCCGCCCCCCGGGCCCCGCCGCGTCTAACGAGAACGCGCCGCCCCCGCCGCGACCCGGAGCCACGTCCAGACTGCCCGGGCCCGCTGCAAGGAAACCCCTGGTGAGTGGCGCGGTCGACGCCGTGGCCGGCGAGACTGATTCCGAGAGTCATTTTCGTCACTGTCTCCCCCGAGATAGAGCGACTCAGTCTGGCTGGCCGAGTGCCCGGATGGCCGGACTCGACACTTTCATCCTGCCAACAATGGCCGCATTCATTGTCCTCGTATCCTTGCCTGCCCCCTCCCCCTGAAAACCTTCCAAAAACCACCAAAAAATGGAAAAACTTGTGAAAATGTCTGATGGGTTGTGACCGCGCCCCCAGGGTGGTGGCGTTGCAGGCGCGGCTGCCCCGCGCGTGGCGCCACTGCGTCCGTCCTCCGGCCAGCGGTCCGCACCCACACCCACAGGGCCGGCCGCCCCCGCCGCCGTGCAGCCCGCCACCGGCCTGGCCCGCGCACCTGCACGCGCTCCCGTCCGCGCGGCCGCCACCCGGAACGGTAGCACCGCCGTCAACGCCGTCAGCAACGGCGTGGCGCGGGCCACCCCAGCCACCACGGCGACCAGCAGGGTGAGCCCCCCGACGACCAAGCTCCCCGTCAACGACGCCGAAACTTGTGTCGGTTTGTGACTCTAAGCTTCCGTGCCCCCGTGCAGGTACCCGCGTCCCCCCAGAGGATGGCCGGCGCCCGCGCCGCGCCGTCGTCCGGGGGCGCGTCCACCCCCCGCGGGGCCCAGGGCGGCGGCGTGGCGGCGCCCCAGAAGGACGACGGGCTGGTGTCCTGCCCGGTGTGCAGCCGCCGCTTCCTCCCCGACCGCGTAGCCAAGCACCAGGAAATCTGCAACCGCTCCACGCACAAGAAGAGGAAGGTCTTCGACCCCGTGGCCGCGCGCGTCAAGGGCACGGAGGCCGAGAGCTACGTGCGCCGCGCAAAGAACGCCCCAGAACCCAAGGTAAGGACAGCCCAACTGCATTCTTGCTACTCAGCAATTTCTAGTTACATTTTTTGTCTGTTATTTGGAGTGGATTTTTTTAAGGATAAAAAGTATGCATATTAATTTTTTTGGCGCGGATTGGCAGGCACTTAAAAATAGCAACTGGAGGCGTAAGCATGAGGACTTCATACAAACTATTCGTGCAGCGAAGCAAGTCCAGTCACACATTGCCAGTGGAGGAAAGCTGTCAGATTTGCCGCCCCCTCCTCCATCGGATTACTCAGATTATGTTCCTTGCCCTCATTGTGGAAGAAAGTGAGTATTTCTCAATTGAAACTTTGTAAATGCTCTGATGGAATACCCACATTAAAATTGTTTATTTTCAAACTAGGTTCAACCAAACAGCAGCTGATAGGCACATACCAAAATGTGCCACCATGTTACACAATAAATCCAAGCCAGGTCTGTCTAAATCAACTGTAGGAAAAGGTGCAGCAAGCCGTCGCTGAACTGTTCAGGACATGATCTCATCTGAAGAACTCAATGGATACTTTAGCATCAAATAACATGGGTCCAAACAGTGTGTAAACATTAAAAACACTCATGGATAACAACTTTCATATATATCATTTTATCATGGTACAATACTTCTTTTCCTCAAAAATAAAATAGATGATTAGTGGAAGAATTTCAATGACATGTCTTTAATGCCTTTACTGTTAATTAACTTATTAAAGACTATATCTGATATGTACAAAGACAATCATTGTTTCTTGCCAACCGGTAATGGCATTACACACCTCTGCAAGGGCATGCAAATTGAACTAAAAATTTTGCATTTGACTGAATTTTGTACAATAATAAAGTGCAGCAGGCTGATGACAATTGTGATTTTGAATTATGTGATGGACTTAACATGTTCACTCTTGAGAGAGAATCATACCCTTGTTCATCCATATGTTTAAACACGGGTGTTAAATTTCTTAGTAGAGAATGTGTTAAGCTAATATATCTTAAGTGTAAAATTATATTTGCACATGAGAAGTATCTAAGATAATCTATTATGAGTGAAGAACAACTGACACCATAAAATCTAGACATAGTAGCTTAAGACGTTCATTCTCGCTTTAACAAAAGAGCTTAAGTACATAATGCTTCCTGGTGAAAAGGCGCTATTGCATCAAAGGCAAAACCACAAATGCTAACAAAAGAAAAGAAAAGAACTTCAACACTGTAGAAAAATAATTAAATATGTATAACAAACATCAATGGGTTCCAAATATTCCTCAAGAAGAAAATTTGAGTTGCACTATGAGCATAAGGATATTTCTGTAAAAATCTTCAGCAGTTAAATGTGCTGTGTTCTATTGAGTGGACTAGATTTAAAGTTAAGCTCTAATATTAAACATGAGTGAAGCGATCATAAGATGGTTTGGAGGAACTGTGATGAGGAACAAACAATCTGAGTAAAATTAAGTTAAAACTGTGATGCTATGCAAGAAATTAACTTGAAATGTAAAGGCTGTGAATCAGGCACACAGCACCTAGACAGATAGAGACATTAACCATGGCATGTATTCTTTGCAAGATTCATAAAATAAAGTGGCCTCGGAAAAATTTGTACGTGTATACCAATTACAAACTGTTCCACATCAACACAATATAAATTCAGCTACAAAGTATATTTCATTATTAATTCAGGTATCTTCTTGTGAAAAAACAAATACATGAAAACATTACAAAAAAATAAAGTTACAACATCATTATGCTTTTTATAATACTAGTGCCCCACATCACATCTTATTATGCTCACGTTTTGACACAGAACTGCCCAATAAGACATGGGCCATTTACACAAGACATACCTCTGGTCACATGTTAACTATCTTATTTCAACGTCCGTTACAAATGGCGCCATTAGGAATTGAGCCATTACAAATCGATCCATTAGGGATTGAGCCATTAGAGGTAAGGTCATTAGCAAAATAGCCATTTTGATGACTTATCGTCAAATTTTTTAAAGTCTTTATGGGTTGACTTACAGCCTGTGAATGCACCTCTTCAAACAGTTTCAATATTTCATTATGCACACTTTCAACATCTCTATCGGCATCAATATCCTGAAACAAAGATTTTAAATAATGAAAGTCCTTTGTTGCACAAAAACTCAACTTGCAAGTTATGAGCTATCTTACCTTCCATATTTTAGGGTCCTTCAATAGTTTATAGTTACTTCGCACTTTGGCTTGGAAGTCTGTTAGCTCGTATCTTTCTTCCCCAAAGCCACCCCTTTGCAAAGAAGCAGATTCACTGAGGTTTAGGATGAAGACTGCATCTGGGGCAGGCAAGCCCTCCTCCTGATTCCAGCACCATTGTAAATCCATATTCTGAAATTAAATTACATTCTAAAATTAAAATATCATCAATGAAAAGCAAGAAAAGAAAACAAAAAAAAAATGAAAATTTAGAAAAAGTAATTTACCTCCTTAGCTGCAGAAAAGGCAACACCAGAGTAGGAATATCTATCCACCACAAGGGAAACACCACTATGCAATTTTTTCCTTATCACAGGTCTGTAAAAAAAGCAATATAATCAAAATTTTACAATGCAAACTACAAATATTAATGGGGCCCATTTCCAACTGTACAAAACATAGAATGGAGACAAATAGATAAATTAATGCCGCTTACTCAAGTTCCCATCGATTCGCTGAGAATAATAGGTGCACAGCGTGATCAGGAAGTTCAATATTCTTTTTCAGATAGTCGTTGATGATTTTCCCAACAGCTGTCGTGCGATCTAAACAGGCATTCAGAAATCACAAAAAGAGAAAAACTCAGATCAGTACTTGACAAACACACACTCACCAGGAAAATTCATATATTCTGCAGGAATATTTTTCTTATTCAACGCTTCGACTAGCTTTTTGCACTGCGTGGTTTTTCCGCCTCGATCACAGCCTTCAAACACAATGAAAGTTCCTCTACGAACCATTTTGAATACAGCTGCAACAAAGATAGAGGAAATTTAAGAGAGTGCCAGAATTTTGAAACCTAAATGTCAAAAAGTAAGAAAATAACAGAGGTTGGTAGAATACTGAGAGGTAAGGTTACATTACACAATATGACATGCAAGTAATACTGTCACACAGGTTGACACCAAAGGCCTACAAGAGGAATAGGGTCCCACCGAAATGAAGACGTGTCAGCACTCAAAAGAAACTGTACTCAAATAAACCAGATACCTGACATGAAACAAACAGCGATGTTGTGTTCCCGCCTTTTCGGCTTCTGTTGTTTGCTTTGGCTTTTCCTCCGCTGCGTTGTTCGTGTCGTGTTCCGTTCCGTCCGTGAGCTCCAGATAGTGTCTCTGGGAGCGTGGTGTATGGCTGCTCGACAGCAAGTGGCGCCGCCAGGCCAGCGATACTCCACGCTGCACTTAGTTCTCCAACCGGCCGCTAGAGGACGCGGGAGCACGCGCCGGGCAGAGTCGGCAAAGGAGTCAGCTGCTGCCTGCTGCAGCGCGCTCAAAATCAAGCCGACAGTCTTTTGAAGTTAGTAGATTGAAAAATCTAAAGGAAACTAAACGAAGAGCCTTTTGTTCCGCGACGGCGTGACGCGTTACCGCTATGTCGTCTGGTCTGCGGCGGGGCGGGGCGGTCCCGAACCTCGCGCCCGCTGCGCCCTGCACGTTCTTCCCTTCCCTCTCCACCCACGGTCCTTAGTCCTTAATGGCCCTCTCCGTCCGTGTTGGCGTATTGACCAAATAACAGCGCGAGCGGCACGAGCCCACGGACTGCAGGCTCATTCCGAACATTCGTCGCTCTGTCTCCCTCGCGCTCGTGAGGCGTTCCGCTGGAGAGCGAGAGGGAGAGAGACAGAGCGTTCCCCGCGGTCCTCACGGCGCCGTGGCGTGCCGTGGCCCCGAGGACCTTTGCCCTTCAACTCCCCGGTCCCTGTTAGCCCTGCACTCCCGCCCCGCCATGGCCCCGCCGCCTTGTCCCGCTGGCGCTGGCAGCGCTGGTGGTGGCGCTGGTGGGCCTACCATCCCACCCTCTTCATCCCGTCTCATCCAGAGACCCACCACGCCCCGATCCAAGGCTGGCCCCCACCACGCCCCACCACGCCCCACCACGCCCCACCACGCCTCGCCCCACCCCGCCCCGCCCCGCCGATAATGCCCGTCCTGGCCGCCCCGTTCTTCCTTCCGGTTGCTATCTCCCCGGTTGGCTCCTCGATTCTTGCCGGTTGCAGAGCACCAGGACGCCCCCTTTTCCCTTCCCCGATCCGAAAGGGGAGGGGGCGCTGGGCGCTCCAGGCAGCTCCAGGCAGCTCCGGGCAGCTGCGGGCAGCTGCGGGCAGCTTCAGGCAGCTCCGGGCAGCTCCAGGCAGCTCCAGGCAGCTCCAGGCAGCTCCAGGCAGCTCCAGGCAGCTCCAGGCAGCTGCCGGCGACTCCAGGCAGCTCCAGGCAGACCGGGCCGTCCCCAGTAATCTACTGCGTCGGGGCTGCCACGCTGACAAACAGGCCCCAGGCGCCATCGCCGTCCCAGCCCGGCCGCGGGCCCTGGCCAGAGGGGGTGGGTGGCACCGGCTGGGCGATGGGGGATGGGGGAAATGGGAGGCACCAAGAATTGAAAACCGCATGGTAATTGTAATTGGTTCTCATTTTTCTCGGGGGAAAGGCTGTCGAGGCGACGCCCAGGCGACGCCCAGCCTCGCCAAGTGGCCGATTTACCAGCCCAATGGTGTCGGCGTGTCGGCTGGACGGCGGCGAGGCTACGGACGCACGGCGCACCCCAGGGGCTGCAGACTGATTCCGAGAGTCGTTTTCGTCGCTCTGTCTCTCTCGCACCTATAGGGCAGTGCTGGCTGATTCCGCGTAGTGCGCCTCTGTCTCCCTCGCACCAACGGGGCCCACGGGGCGCGGGGGTGCGAGAGAGACAGAGCGAGCCTGCTGGTGTTGACTTGGCCGGCTCATCGCAGCGCGCCGGCGGACTGGCGGACGCACCGCGGAAACCACCAGCACGGCCGCAGCCAGCCGCAGCTGCCTCGTTGTGCTTGGCTGCCTCGCTGCTTCAGGCCTCGCTCCGTTCAATTTCACAGCCGGCTAGCGCAGCTCGGCAGGGGATTATCTTACACACGGCTTTCATGTCGAGCCCCGGAGCAGGGGATGGGGCGCAGCGGCGCAGCCGATGCGTGGTCGGGCGTGGCGGCGTGGCCCTCCACATTAAGATCTGGTTTCGCGGCGCATGGCGCATCGCGTTGTTAGCGGCGACGTCGACACTCGAGCACACTCGAGAGACCGCCGCCACCGTAAGTTAGACGCGGCGCGAAAATCGGCCGACGCCGACAACGACGCCGACAACGACGCCGGCGCCGGCCGGGAGGCACGTCGTTATCGGCGGCCTCCACAGAGCAGCCGCAGCGCCGCGGCCGCGGAGAAACAAAGACAAGAATATCGAACGCCGCCGTCCCTGTCTCCGTCCCCGCGCCGCACGAAAAAGGAAACAAAAATTGAGCTTAGCTGGCGAATTCGTGCAGCTGTTCGCGTGTGTTCCGGCTATCGGGGGCGTCCCAGCACCGCTGCAGACTGATTCCGAGAGTCACTTCTGTCGCGCTGTCTCTCTCGCACCTGGACGGGACGCCCCTGCAGTGCGACAGAGACGGCGATTCGCGGTGTATCAGTCCGCTGCGCTGTCCTGCCCGGCCCTGCCGCATGACGGAAGGCCCGCGTTGTATAGTGGCGGCGAGGTGGCGGGGCGTGGCGAGCGGCGCGCCTGGAGGACGCCGATAACGTCGCCGTCGTGGCCGCGACGCCGCGACGCCGTGCTTACTGGTAGCGCGTGGGCGAGGTGGGCGAGGTTGGCGAAGTGGGCGAAGTTGGCGAGGTGGGCGAGGTGGGCAAGGTCCACGCCGTGTGTTTGGCCAACGCTCCGGCCGCGCGAGTTGCCTACGCCAAGCCTACGCCAGATTCAATAAAAGCTCTGTTTGTTCCCAATCCAATCTCTTTCCGCGATCGAGGCGGCCCTTCCCGGTCCAAGGCGGGGCGGGGTGTGGCGGGGCGGGGCGAACGCGGAGCAGGCGGAAGTTATTAGGGGGCTTCGGCTTCGGCGGAACAGAACGTACCCCTTTTCTCAGCAGGGTCCATCCCCTGATCCCCCTACTGCCCCACCCCCTCTCCTTTTCCTGGCCGCTTAAAGTCGTCAGGCCTGTAAGCACCTTAATTAGATCGCGAAGGGGACTCTCTCCCCCCTCCCCCCTCTCTCTCTCCCTCTCTCACTCTCGCTGTCGTGCGAAGACGCAACTAAGATCACGCGAGCTTCACGTGGGCGCACCGGGCGGCAGCAGGATGCCGGACAACTTCTTGTCTCTGTCGGCTGCGCCCTCACAAAAATAAAGGACATTTAAAATGAGCTGTCGTTTATTTCATTCGTGTAGTTCTTTTGACCAAACTTGAATTTTGACAAGATATGTTTTAATCAAAAGAAACTTGACTAAGAGCCTTCGTTCAACTATATTTTATTTTTTGAGAGACTCGGTTCAAATCCTTCTGTGCAAGGCTAGCTTATTATGGGTATTATGCGTTGTTATTTTTTGCTCTAGTTCTGCCTGTGCGGCTGCAGAATAAAAGCCCCGCGCGTCCACGCCTTGGGGGTGGGAATAATCTCGGGGGTAAGGGGAAGGGGGCAAGGGGGTACAGGGTGGCATCCGATTATTGGGTCCGTGTTGAATTATTGAGCACTGGCAAAGACGCGCGGAAGGCCGTGCGGAGCCGTTCCGTGCCGTGCCGTGCCGTGTCGCCCTCCAGAGCGCGGAAAAAACAACATAAGTTGGAATGAAGCACGAGTTCTAGGGATGACAAAACCCGCACGGACTGGAACGTCAACTTCGACATTAAATTTGCAGTTTTCGTTTGCGATTTTGTTTGCACAGAGTGTCGCAGTGTGGCGGTCGCTGTTCTCCGAGCACGATGCCGGCCCAACTCCTCCGGGTCCGGGGCGTCCGGGGTCATTCTCGAGACCGAGGACCGCGGCTCCGGCTTCGGCTCCGCTCGCAAACCGAACTGGCGCGGCGCCGTCGGCGTCCATCAATGCCGGGCCGGGCCTCCCCGAGCATCCGCGAGCATCCCCGAGCATCCGCGATGCCATTAGTCTGGCCGGGGCCGATTCGGTTTGGCTTGCCCTCCATTGAATAGAACCGAACCGGTGGCGTAGCGAGACGTGGCGAGGCGTAGCCGGGGGCGCAGTCATGAAAACGCGTCCGAACTTTTGGCTGCCTCCACCGGTCTTCTGGCCCACTGTGCAGCGTTCGCCGTACGCAGTGTGGTAGCGGTGGCAGTGTGACGGAGACGTGTTAACCGACCTTCGGGCCGCGCTCCGCGTTTAGAAACTCGCTGCGGCCTGCAGACTGATTGCGAGAGTCGTCGCTCTGTCTCTCTCGCACTCACAGGGCGTCTCGTACAGGTGCGAGAGAGACAGAGCGAGACTCTCGGAATGCGGCGGGCCGGCCACTAATTGAAGGAGGCTGCCGTCGTCGCGCTGCGAAAGGCGGATAAGAAAAGCCGTGCCGAATCTGCCAAACGCATGCATCGAGCGAATACCATCGGACCGTGACAACACTTTCTTAAAATAAAGTCTTTTAATGGGCACACACTGCAAGAAATAACCACAACAAAAGTACACAAATTTCTGGCAAATCTTTTATCAGGACGGTCCTTTTCAAGTACAGCAATCGTAATACAAAGTACAATGGACCCGGCATGACGAGTGCTGTGAAGTCCAGGCCTCGTTGTGGTTTTTACAATTCTCGGTGTACTTTCCACAACCCCTGTTGTACTTTTACTGTACAGTTTTTATTGTACTTTTGTTGTACTATCCACGCTTTTCTTGCAGTGCACGAAAACGTCCAGACAGATCCGCACACGGAGACACTCCACTCGGTTGCACTCGTTGCTCGAAGTCCGCGCCGCGTCTTGTTCCGGCCAAACTTGGAACGAAAGGGCAGCCCTCCTGCAGACTGATTCCGCACGAACGGTGCTTCCGTCGCTCTGTCTCTCTCGCACTCCTGGGGCGAGTCGGAGGGGTGCGAGAGAGACAGAGCGACGGCGCACTGCTGTCGGAATCAGCCCGCTGGCCCCCCGGGGCGGCGCTGCAGTAGCAGCTCCCTCCAGCAGGGGGCTTCGATCGGGCCAGTGTCGCCGTTATGAATTATTCAGACCATTAAATCAATTTCCCATATTATGTTTTATCTGAGACGGACAGCGGAGGGGGAAGAAGGGAGGCACTTCGTGTTTCTGCGGTTTGGTCCTTTTTTCGGGCGCGCCCACGTTTCATTCTTGATTTTCAACGATTTGAGACTTGGAGACGAAACT